TCAGAAGGATTCCTAGCTTGGGTCTTGGCACCGCGCCTGGGAGTGTCCATCACCAAGATCCATGTGGGCAACCCTTACTAGTGTTGCCGTAGGTAGTAAGGTACAGTACGCACTTGTAAGTCCTAGATTGGTTTCTAGTCCTGACTAGTAATTAGGCAGTCACTTAGGGGGTTCGGACTTTACAGAAAAGCTCGACATTAGTGCCAGTGAAAGTGGGGTTAGAAATGAATGCCGTGCGTACATCTTCCTCTTAGGCTCTCACACTGATGGCTCTTTTCGTTCTCTATTCCCTGTCGATTAGCCGATATTACATAGCGTGCGACAAGGGGTTAGTGGGCATCATGGCACAGTACACCGTCGCCCGAGTACGGAGTACTTGCAGTTAATAACGCGGGCTGAGATAGTACTAGCACATGGACATAAAAGGAAAGACTGGCAAGAGATGGAGAGAAAGTCCCTCTTTCCCTGAGGTTCAAACTGGCGATCTACCTGCATACCTGTGCTGACTTGGAGTCCGCTCCACTGGAGACAGTCGTACCATTCATCCGCATGAACAGGACCGGGGGGGGCAATTGGAGACGTTGACGCTCGCTATTCCTGTTGAAGCCAATTGATGAAAAAGGAAAGAAGGAAAGAAAATAAGTGTCTTCCAGCCTTTCGAAGTGGCGTTCAGGTTCCAGCCTCCTTCTTCTTCCTCGCCTCTCTTTCTGGGCCATTATCAGAGAAGAAAATGGTCTTTCGACCGAGCTAGCCATAGCCAAGAGACTCGAGTGGCATGTTAATAGGAGCGCTCGTTTAGTTCGACACACTCTCTCTCACGGCATTTCTGAAGAGAGAAAGGTCGGGTTGCGTTAGTAGCCTGAGCCACAGCCACTGGGGACCCGCACATGAATCGGTGGCCGGGACTCGGGACTAGTTTGGTTCGAGCTGCTAATTGTAGATCAATGGACATTAATACGGTGGAAATCTATAGCTCGTTTCAATATAGGTTGCGAACCCCTTTCTTTCTAGATAATGATATTGGGTCATACACGGCATGTTGAACCGGGTAGAGAATACTAGGGCACTATTGCGGTGTTGATTCTGTGTTGCCTGGGATGCGTGCTGATCATCAACAATCTGTACAGAAGACACTGAGAACGGAGTATTAGCACTGAAGTGTGAAGAAATTCTTAGTAAGAAGAATAAAAAATGAAAAATAATGATAAAGGGCCGGCCATGGTAATTAAGCTTTAAACGGGCACTTAGGCAGACTCAAAACATGACCTGCTTGTTCCAGGGCAGGGAGGATTCATGGGCTCTCGCTAGTATGAACTATGAATGATGAACGAGGAACATGATTTTCCTTTTTTCCCTCCATTGATTGCCAGGATCTCTCGTACAGTACATAGTAGATAACTACTCGGTAGCTTCTTTCAATCTGCCAATGCAGCGTTGCCCCGCCGCTTGCTGGCTGCAGATAGGAGGAGGCTCATTCTTAACCTTCGGTCTCTGTGCAGTAGGTGTCAAATTAACTTTGTGCGAGATCACAGGTCCTTCATTACAATCAGTGACTAGGTGAGTGGTTGTGAGTGTGGAGTTGGGAGATTTTGTTACGGGCTTTGGCGAGTCATGTGCTCGTTGTATATGCCGAATCTACCTCGATTCGAAAACATCAACCCCGGCCCTCTGCCAGGTGGTAGTCTTTCCCTATGGTACTGAGTAGTAGTTCAGGGTCTTTTGTAACCTTATCGGGTGGTCTGTCCGGTCTCGGCGAGCCGTGCTTCAGCAACTGGCCTGCGAAAGAAAACCTTCCACGGTAGACTGACTGCCTTCCGTAAGGCGCCGGGAAACAACTCTTGTCCGAGGAAGGCAGGAGCATAACAGACGGACTGCCTGATAGACCCAAAAACCTCCGGTGAACGAGCATCTTCGTCCACGAAGCACATTCTCGGGAAGACGATCAACAAAGGGGTTTTCTCAGGGATTAGCATTGGCGCGCATTCTACGGAGTACGGAGTAGTAGGTAAGCTATGGTGAATTCTCTCTCGGCTTGTCAGCCCACTTTTGACACGATCGGCCTGAACCGGAGCTTCTCGGTTGAAAGTACCGCAGTCTGTGCGGAGTACAGTACCTACACAGTACTATTCCCACCGCTTCTCATACCGGTACATGTACCTACTAACTTAACGTACGGGTGTCACAAAGTCTCCTACCCCATTGCCTGTCTGAGCCTCTGAGGTGAGTTAGTTCAATGTGTCCGCTGGTGGATATCGTCAGATCCGAGATTCAGCTGTCGCTCACTCGCTTCAAACAAAGAAAGATGCAAGGGGCAAAGAAAAACTCAAAGCCAATCTGATCTGGACGGGTTTCCCCCCTCCCTCCTCCGCTCAACATCATCTCCAGCCGGTATGTGCTAGGGTCACCTTCAGATCTTTGTCCGTCTGTCTTCGCGTTGCGTAAGACGATCCTCCCAAGATTTTATGAGGTCACTTCTGCTTATCCCGTTTTGTCAACAGTCCGATCTTTCCTGCGCGCCCTGTGTGGATACCCAATCTGCAACGGAGGTACATACGACGATGGATTGTCGTGCGCACTGACATTATGGGCTCGGCCTGCCTGCAGGACGAAGCAAGGCTCCTCTCCGCTATCTACTCTTTCTTTGTTATCCCTGGTCTCTGATCTGATGGCAGGGAGCAAGTGGTTCTTGTTCCGGTTGAGTCGATTGAAGACTAACGGATATTTAGACCAGTCCAGAGATCCACGTCCAATGTCTCCTCCTGTAAACCCGGAACACCCGTTCACATGCCCCCCCCGGAGAGATACTTCCGGGAGGCCGATCAGCCCACCTAGGTGTGACAGTCTTGCTCGGCGTGCCTGGTGGCTGTGTCAATCACATGGCTGTCAACATTTTGACTTGCCCAGCGGGCAGGCAAGCCAGCCGGCATGTTGGGCATTGGGCCTGGCAGGGAGGGCGCTCGGATATACGGTACTATGGACATTACCCTTGCAGCACCGCGACGCACGATGGGCTTTTTGTAAGCATTGATGCGGATCGTCGTGGCTTCCTGCCTAGCTCCTACGCCCCTCCCTACCAGGCACGGGATCTCCGCACTATATCGGAGTCCCCGTTGTTGTTGGTCGCAATCCCGATCGCATATCTGCATGTCTACCATGCAGTCGTTGGGCTATTAGCACAGTAGCACCTAAGCTAGCTGCGCGGGCTAACGAGATATACTGACTATCGATCGATATAATCGAAGCAAAACCGGTTTTAGTCCTCCAACTGCCGGAATATATTCCCACCGCTGCACTACTGCTTCATGTCATGTGCGCAGTGCAAACTCTTCGAGTGGGCTGGAAGTGGAGCAGATACACGCATGCACGGATTCTCATCACGGCTCAGAGCTCTACATTCTAAGCAATGCGTGACGGCTCAGAATGCATATGTTACGTCACTAGAGGCAAGGCCTCAGGGATCTATTGTGGGAGAGACAAGTCAGGTCGTGTTGAATATCTACAACACGCATACGAGGATCAAAAACGGATGGTCTCAAGTCGGGATTCGGTGGCCATTGAGCCCGTAGGGGCAGTCAATGAACAAACGGGCTTCATGAATTGGGCATCTCGGATGAGCCCGTTCCCATTCAGTGTCGTGTCCATGTCTCAGAAACTTTGACCGCCTGTTATAGGGCTTAGCTTATGGTGAGCACAACAGAGTGACGAGGCCATAATCACGCCCTTCCGAGCTGCCCTCTCCGTTTGCCTGGTATGGTTCGTCGTGCGCAACCCATACTTTTGAAAGCATTGCGTTCTTTCTTCATGGCTGGCAGGAAGGCTGCGGGAAGCCGAGCCCAGGGCAGTTGTAGGATGAAGTGTCCTTCTCGGCGCTAGCCTCTGACCCTGAAGAGCCTGAACAACAAACGCCCCTTGTTCTCTTCTCTCGAATATTGTCAGCTAGTTCTGTCTAGGTTGGAAAGAGACCATCCTGAATGCCACGTCAAGCTAAACAGGATCTCGGAAGACATACGAGCCATGAGAGATGAGCTTTGGAGTTTATGGTTGCGCGTGTTGTACGAAATGTAGGCTCAAAGACTTACAGGGAAGAAGTGACAGTCCTTGTCGTGACTCTCTGCCGACTTGAGATACTGCTCGATATTTGAACAGTATCGTATTGATCAACGTAGACCTCCTTGTTTCAAGGGGCTATTTTTTTGTATCGATAGACGCCTCGACCGACTGAATTTCATGTACGCCAGTCAATCACGCTTCAGCCATGACTAGAGCAGTTCTGTGGCTGCAATATTGGCCTCGCAAAGAAATTTGAGAAGTAACTGTCTATTCATGATCACAGCCTCTAGATTGGCATCTCCGGCCGCAAGTTCTCTTCTCAATCTCAACAAGATGGACTATGGGCTAAGGAGATATGGGCTGCAGCCATTCGACTCAGTAGCCACCCAGATTGTATGCGCCGATAACCAATCATGCCACCATATATAATTTCGCTATACTGACAGCGGGCATTGCGCCTGCGAGTGATCATCCCTGCTTTGAGTTGTATCTGAATCTAGATCGCAGACTCTCGGCTCCTTGCTACCAATAGTGGAAATTGTGATGGCCGACATTTAATGCTTTGTTGAACAGACTTCACTCAATGTGCTTTGCACACCATGTCTGAGTGGATATGGCTCCAAGCATTAATCGGTTGCAGTAGGCTGTCGTTTCTCTCCCTTAGTGTCCTGCAGTACATGTTGTTGCGGGTTGATGATCTCGAGCTCTTCCAAAATGCTGTATGCAAGAGAAATTCGCACACAGTAAGAGCTACTGACTCAACTTTAATTGTGTCTGACACCAACAGCCTGATTTTCTGACGAGAATAAATAAAAGCATGGTCATCCATTGCCAGAATGCCTTCGATATATACAATCACATGACCGCGGACTAACTTTTCGCCGCTGCCATTTTCTACCATCACGGGTCTCCATCAGCATGTATACACTCTCCTCCATCCCCTCTACCAGCTCATTTCGAGCCTCGTCCCCTTTTGTACCACTCAGCCATCCCAAGTCGGTAGGCTGCCGCTTCGTGGATGGCAATTGGTCCTCAGATCACACTTATCGCCGTCTAAGCCGAGACCTCACGTGCGTGGGAGTCTACCCGGAGTCGGATAATCTGGCCGCTTGTGAAGGTCAATATACAATTACATCACGTTATCCATACAGCTGCGACTCTGAACACTTCTATCCACGGGATTTGCATGTTGTACTGCATTGCGTCTCCACGGCACGGTTATATGACCGGATTTTCCTTGAAACCGACATCTGATATGACTGCTCTCGTTTCGTGCTAGCATTTCTGTCTGGAACGCACTTGTCGCATTTATTCACCATTCGTGCATTCTGCATCAAGACCTATCATACCGTAACCGCATCAATGGCAGTCCTCATGGCTTTGCAGGGATCTATACGGGCCTCTGGGCAACTCCCTCGCTTGCCCTGTGTGCTCCGATTCCCCTCCCTCGGACATGGCTCCGTGCCCAGAAGAGGATTGCACCCGCTGCAGGTAACCGGAGCGCGTAGCTTCTCGGTCCTCACGCCAGGCTGTCGCTCGCGCTCGCAATTGATTCAGGCAAGGTGCGATTTTGTTTCCTATTTCGGCTGGAAGTCGAGTTCTAAACCTATGTCTAGCTTACGGGGGAAGAGAAGTAGTAGTCTCTGTACAAAGGAGTCATCGCAATGGGCACGGATCACTGTCCAGCAGAGAAGATGGTCGGCGCAGAAGTCGACCGACTCAAACGATACGCAAAAGTAGGTTTCTCTCTCTTGGCTTGGATCTTCCCCATTCTATGGGGACCGAAGGGAACCCCTATGATACCGATGACCCGTGCCTCGTCGAATCCTGACATGAACGCAGCACTGAGCCCAAGTCTAAAACCGCGGCTATTCTGTCAAAGATCCCTAGACCCACCACCCACGAGAACATCTATACTGTTCCCAACATCCTCACTCTCACCCGCTTAGTTGCAGCTCCTTTGGTAGGGTACTTCCTCGTGCAAGGCCACCACACGGCCGCATTAGGTCTTTTCGCATACGCCGGCATCACGGATCTTGTGGATGGCTGGATTGCACGCCGATGGAACCTGCAGACGGTCGTCGGGACGATCATCGACCCCATGGCTGACAAGCTTCTGATGACTATCGGTGTTGCTTGCTTGGCTGTCAATGGATCGATTCCTGGTAAGGCATCATGTGCAGTTGACGATTCACGATAGACGGTTGGGAGGCAGGAAAGCTGACATGTTTCCGACAGTCTGGCTCGCCGTCATTATCCTCGGCCGTGACGTCGGCCTGGCGCTCTCGGCCATCTACTATCGATGGATCTCTCTTCCTCCGCCCAAGACCATGGCCCGGTACTGGGACTTTTCTCTTCCGTCTGCCGAGGTCAAACCCACGACAGTCTCCAAGGTCAACACTGCGTTGCAGCTTCTCCTCGTGGGTAGCGCAATCGGGATGCCTGTGCTTCCAGAGACGGTGATTGATGCGTGGCATCTAAAGGAAGCCATGACCGCATTTCAGTGAGTGCAGCTCCCCTTTTCCTTATGTTTTTTTTTTTTTTTTTGTTGTTGGTTGTGTTTTTGTTGTGTGGGGCGGCATAAGAGCGGCGGTTGGGGTGTGTCTAGCACATACGACCACAGGGTGTGGAAAATAGGGCTTCCCGTCCGCTCAGCCGTACTCAAGCCACACGCCGGGAGGTTAGTAGTTGGGTGGGTGACCACCAGCGAATCCCTTCTGTTGTATGTTTTTGGGTTACACTTTTTGCCCCCTCTTCTTGTGTCGACCTCTCGTGTTCGAATCCATTGTCAAAAGGAATATGCTGACTAGGACAGATACCTCGTTGCCGGAACCACGATCTGGTCCGGGCTCAGCTACGTGTTTTCCAAGGATGCCGTCAAGATCTTGACGAAGGAAGAGGTGCAGAAGCGCATTGCTCGAGCTGCCGGGAAGAAGTGATTGTGGAATATATAGTGAGGAGATGTATGTACATAGGTAGCATACTGTGATCGGGGCATTTGGCTGAGCATACATTTCGTTTAAGATATGAAGGGATATCAGCATGGGACCTATTATGAACTCGGTATAAGTTTATGCTCAGCAGTATACATAGTACTATCCTTATAATCTCGTACTACTGCGTAAGGATGATATCTACAGCTGATGTGCTCTGCTGATGTAATGGCGACATCTGGACGCCGACGCAAGTTTTTCCCACGGACCAATAGTGGGGTGGGGATTCAGCAGCAGGGCAGCAGTCGGCGCATTTCCATCTGAACTCTGACCTTCCCCGCCGGCCGGCAACTTACGTCTACCTACTCACTCAATCAACTAACTTAAGCCTCCAACCTGAGGACCTCATCTTCAGCTTCAGCTTCAACCTCATCTACAGCCCCCTCACCCTTATATTCTGCAAACACCAAAATGAAGGCCTACTGGTACGACAACAAGCCGGTAAGCAAGCAGTATCCCCTGCCTCTCCAAAACACTACCCCTCCATAAAACCCCCCCTCCCAACCCCCCAAAACTAACCAAAAACTAACCAAAAAAAAAGGGCGACCAACGCCTCCCGCACGACAGCAACCGCCCCGTCACCGAATCCTACCTCGCCACCCTCGGGGTAACCTACCAGCACCTCCCCTCCCTCGCCGACGTCGACGCCCTCGCCGCGGCCCGGGGCTACAAGAACCGGGACGAGATCACGGTGTCGCCGGCGACGATGGGCGAGGCCTACGAGACCAAGGTCAAGAGTTTCTTCCATGAGCACCTGCACGAGGACGAGGAGATCCGGTACATCCGCGACGGCCGGGGTTACTTCGATGTCCGCGGGCAGGAGGACGAGTGGGTGCGCATCCAGCTCGATAAGGATGATTTGATTATTCTGCCCGCGGGCATTTATCATCGGTTTACGACGGACGAGGGGAATGTATGTCTTTCCCTGCTTTCATCCTGGGGGGGGCTGTAGGGGAAACGAGACTGGGGAACCGGATTGGCTAACGTGGCTTGTGACTACAGTATATCAAGGCGATGCGGTTGTTTCAGGAGGAACCGAAGTGGACGCCGTTGAATCGGAGTGAGGAGTTGGATGAGAATCCTCATCGGGTTGGGTATTTGGGTTCCTTGGGGAAGGCTGCTGTTGCTGCTGTTTGATGACTTGGATTCCAGGTAAGATGGATGGGGTTGGGTTAGGGGTGAAGACCAGGAGGTGTGGGGTTGGGATGTATATACCTAGGCACATGAAATTATGACACCCAAGTTGATTCTTATTCTTTGTTTTATCATTGTTGAAAGTCGTATCACTCGCTAGATGCGGTCGTTTCTTATGCGCCTAAAGTCGACCGTCAATGCAGCGTCAACCCCAAACTATTGCCCCCCCAATGACCCTGGCATATGCAAATCACTCAACCCCCCCGAACTCTCCTCCCGCATCATACTCGCCGGTCGCAGGTCCCCCGTCTCCACGTTGTAGCTGGAAGTGCGCGACACGCTGTCGAACTGCGGCCTCGACGACAGTCCACCCCGGAACCGTAGTCCCTCCGTCTCATGCGCACTCAGATGATCCGACAAGGCGCCGCCGCCGCCCCCTCCGCGGGACGCGCCGTTCGACGCCGTCTCGGCCTCCTCGCCCGTCCGAACCCCCGTTCGGCCCATGCGCGGCCACAGATCCGGCAGCCCCACCACCTGCACCCGGGGCTCGACCACGCGCTCCTCGAACCACGCATGCACCCGGGCCTCAACCAGCTGCGCGACCTTGGGGACATCCTGGAGACGACTCCGGGAGCCGATCAGCGACCGCACCGACAGATCGAGACGGTAGTCCGGGAGGAAGGAGAAGGCCACGTTGCTCTTCGGGGTGCCGGTCTTCGGGAGCGACGACGCATCGGCTCCCTCCTCCACGGCGACGGAGGGCGGTTGAAACCCGTCTCCAGGGGCGTTCTTGGTCCCATCGGCCGTGGGCGGCGACGGGGACGGCGACGGAGTATGGAGAGGTTCCGTGGAGGCGGGGACCAGCGAGATGCACAGGGTGCCCGAGAAGCGCACCACCGACACCGACAGTGCCACCGGCAGGATGGCGGAGCAGGGCTTGGGGTAGTTGAGCAGCAGCGACGTCTCGACGGCGATGGAGAGGTTGTCGTCGCTCAGGTCGACGTCCATCAGTGCCTGTAGGCGGCCGCCGTCGGAGTTCGGGTCGTCGACCGCGATGATGCGGCAGTTGCTGAAGATCGGGAACTCCTCCCCCAGGGAGATGTCCGTCACCGCGATCTTGTCGAGGAACGAGGGCTTCTTCTCCGGGTTGTTCAGGGCCGCGTTGAGCGAGCCCAGGATCGACGACGTCGGCGAGTCCTTCAGCAGGTATGCCGTCTGCCGGTACTGCGCGATCGTCTGCGCGATCAGCACGTTGAACCAGTCCAGGGACTCCGGCTGGTGCGAGGAGTGGTGGATCCGGTGCCGGCCATGCTTGGAGGTGAGGTTGGGCGGGATGGAACTGTAGTAGGTCTTGCGGAGGATCGACTGCGTGTTGGTCGACGAGGACGGCACCGGGCGGAGCACGTTCGAATTCGACGGTTTCTCCCGGAGCGATCGCGAGTTGGCCGGGTTGGTCTCATTCGGGCCCAGGTTGTAGATCGAATTCGACCGCCGGTGGGTGGAGGTGCGGTGCGAGAGCCCGCGCGAGGGAGGTGGTGGTGCTTCGCCGAAAATGAAGAATTTGATGAAGGCGCCGATCAATAGGACCACGGATAACTGCCCGAGCAAGAATCCCTGTGTGAAAGATAGGCTACAGTATCCTGTTAGCCTTGGTGCTCCCTGCCTTGTGCTACTACGACCACCGGCGGGCAGGCCGTAGTTAAGTAAGAGGAGTGACGTACGAGGATTGCGCCGGGACGGGCTCCGCTGATTTCACATCGACGGTCAGTTCAGTCAGTGAGCTCTTGAGCAAGGACAATCCAGATGAAAAAACACACCTTGTTGGTAACACATCATCAGCACACTGTCGCCTTTGGGATGTTACCCATCAGCCATCGCCACTGTTGCTGGGAACTTGGAAGCTAAGTAGGAAATGAATTGGAGGCGGCGAACGGCAAGTGGGCGGCGCCGTCGAGGTTCCGCCTCCGATGCGCGCTAAGCCGATTAGTTTTCTTGTCTTGTCTGGCCTTCGATTTATCAGATCGGAGTCGCCCTCCGTTGGTGTTTTATTTTTTTTATCATCATTGTTGTTCCATGGAAGTTTTCATCTGCTGAAAGGACACGTTGTACATTGACTAGGTTGCACCATAAATTTAGCCACATGCTGGGAATCAGCTTTACACAACTCTTTCATTCACTGTTGCTGACACGGTTGCTCTCATATGATGCCTCTGACTTAAAATCCACAAAGAATCCCATCTCGTATCTTCAAACTGACTCTCGAGCTCGAGACCAACGAACGCACCCATCATGCACCACTCACGCCTATTACAGTTCCTCCTCCTTCTCCTATCACAGCCGCTCCTAGCATACGCCCGACCACAGCAACCACCAGGCAGAGATGCTATCCTCCTCTCCCGCGTCCACTCGCTCACTCTGCGCGCAAATCGCCTAACCACCTCCCGACGCGTGTCGCCCATCCCTCAGTTGAAATGCATCGGTCCCTCCAAGCGCATCTGCAACCTATACCCCATCGAAACGATGCGATGCACAAACGAAGGTTACGACTACGACGAAGAGGACATCCAATGGACCTGCACTGCCTCGCTCCCACCGGAGTTCAAGCTTGGATCAACCGACGTAGTGTGCGAGGGTTACAGGGATGCTGATGATAAATGGGTCTTGAAGGGAAGCTGCGGTGTTGAATATCGCTTGTTGTTGACGGAGTTGGGAGAAGAGCGCTTCGGCTCAGGAAGGCAGGATAGCGATTTCTGGCCTGCAGACGTCGACCTATCTGGCTGGAGGGGCGTGTTTTCCACACTGGGCAATTTGGTTTTCTTTGGATTCATGGTGGCGTGTTTCTTCCTGATAATGCTGCCCATGCTGAGAGATTGTTTTGGCCTACGCGGAGGTCGACGAGCTGAAGGGCTCGGTCGCGGCTGGGGTGGGTGGGGAGGAGGAGGTGGTGGTGGTGGTGGTGGCGGCGGTGGAGGCTCCTACCCTCGTGGCCCTCCCCCTCCCTATACCAGTTCAAGTTGTCCGGATCCTGCTCCTGCCTCTGAACCATGGAGACCTGGGTTTTGGACAGGTGCTTTGGGCGGCGCTGCGGCTGGCTATGGCCTGGGAAGCAGAAACCGTAGCCGCACCCCAACCTTCACGCAAAGGCGCACTCCGTCTTTCACGAGATGGGATGACCCCGGTGAAGGTAGCTCAGGGTCGCGCTCGCGTTCGCCGCAGTTTTCAAGTACATCCACAAGTACCGGGTTTGGCTCGACTAGACGCCGCTGAAGAATGGGGGATGGCGAGAAGAATGTGGGTGGGCTATGAGTCTGATTCGAATGGCTTGGTGCGTCTCTTTGCTAGTTCATGGAGTAAACGAGTCTCTTAAATGAAGGGCCACATGGCGGTTGTATTGATGCCTAGATTAGGGTAAGCATAGGTATCCAAGGGAAAACCCCTCTGAAAATACCTCGAAAACCAGACACCTTCGGTACCTGCTTTCCCAGCTTCCTTCATCGTAACACGAAGCACATAACGCCTGGATACTGCCGCCTTTATAGGGAGTCTGCCAGAATAACGCACTGTGTGCATGGCATGGATCCTCAAGGAACGTCGTCGATCGTGCCCAATACCTCCTCGGTTCCACCGGCCATGGCTTTCATCGCCTGCCTCCGGCTGGGTCGTTTGACCTTAGCAGGCATGTCGCCATTTTGACCGGATCCTTCAGCCGCACCATCCGGGTTGCGAAGCAGTTCTTCTTGAGCTTCCTTCTCTTTGGCATGCTGTTCCTCCATCTGTTTCCGTTCATCGTCTAGTTGTTGTTGTATGACTTTAGGATCATCATACACCGTGTTGGTCATTTGGGAATAGGTGTTGATGTCAATACTCTCTCGTGGACCGAGAAGAGTATCCTTGATGCGCAAGGGGTCGCGGCGCTCCTCGTTGTTAAACTTTAATTTAATCTGCCGCCTGCTTCTCCCAGGGAAAAGTTTGCTGATCATCATGAAGTCGGTGCCAAAAATACGCAACCCTCGATAAAACAGATCCGTCATTTCCTCGTCCCAGGACTCTGTCTTGGAACGTTTCCCGTAAGTAGACTGGTTGATCTTTCGAGTGAGTGTGTTTTCTACAACGTCCTCCAGAGCGCCGGCATTTCGTGCTGCATCCGCATGACGGTCAACCTGCAAGGAAGCAGTATCGAGCACGATTTCTCCGTTGACAATTCGCATCACCGGTCCAGCTTGCGATTTGTTGTCAAGCATGCTGTTTCCTTCGACTGCTGGCGTGGGCTCGTTTCCATTGGCCTTCATTGGAACCTCAGTGTCTCCCTCTTGCTGTGCACGTTGTTTGCGCTCTTGCTCTGCTTGGTCGAGGACGCGAAGTTCAGTTTCTCTCTTGGAGAGTTTTCCGGTCCGAAGGTCCTTGCATAATTCCGACATTTTAATGAGCCCAGGGGCGATTTCAACGTTCTCAGAACCTTCAGGAGTTGGCTCGCGCCTTCTCCGTGTACGAGTCTTTCTTTCTTTTTTCTTGGCCGTCGCACTCTCACCATTCCCTTCCTTGACAGATTTCCTTCGAACCTTGACCACCTTTCGAGGTTGCGTAGTAGGGGCGGGCGTCTGCGACTCTGTCTCTGTTTGACTTTCTGAAGGTTCTTGAGTGTCTATAGCGTTGGCTTGAGAAGCGGGGGGCGTGGGAAGTGGAGGGGCTTGGGTCGCTGAAGGTTCTATCGAAATGGTAAGAGGTGGGGTAGAAGTCTGAGCCGCAGAATTGGTCCTGGGACGTTTGGTCGGGCGAATCTCGATAGCGCCATCTGCGGGACGGCGCACGCGACTTTGAGGAGCAGCGGCCTCTTCAGTACGACGCTCCACCACGTGTGTTGGGCTGACGTCCCTACTGCCATCGGCGCGCGTTTCCAAGGATTCATTGATCGAAGACTGAGAAGCAAGTTCGGTAGGTGCGGTACTGGGTGGGGTGGGTTGGGGAGGTGGTGGTACGACCCCGGGAGGCGCTGCTGAGATAGAAGGCTTCCGCTTCGGTTGGGGGATTGCGATCGCGGTCGCAGACAATGAGGGCGTAGTTTTCTTCTTGAGGGCCGCGGCTGGTGTTTCGACGGGGACCGTGTCAGCGGCAGCGGTAGGTTGAACAGGGGTGGTAGAATGGCCTGGCTCAGGTGTGGCTGTCGCGGTCGCCGGCTGCGGTGTCTGGGACGCAGACGGCTGCGACGCAACACTGGGCCGTCGTGGTGGAGGGGGAGCTGGGGCGCGTCGGGCGGGCGCCTTCGGAGCAAACTTCTTGCCCGACTTATCTAGCGGAAGCAAGAATTATTAGATACGAGTTACACTGGGAACTGGAGTCCGAGGGAAGGGAAGGTAAAGGAAACTTACTGATAACCGAACTGGAAAAAGACTTCATTCCGAATATCAAATTCTGATCAAATTAGGTCATCGCCGACATGTATTCGCCGGTAAGACAGCCGATTAAATGAGGGAATGAGGGAATTTTTGTGTGAATGACCAAAGGAACAATAATGAGAGTGAATGATGGGTTGGCGACGGTTGCTGAATGGATGCTGAATGGATGAAAGAGTTGAGTTCGAGTCTAGATGCCCAGATCTGCTGAACTCCCGGGGAAAGTGGATGGGGTCACGTGGGAGGCGCTAGGAAACGCAAACTCCCAGGCCGAAAATCCTCCTGGCTTTCCTTAAGTCTTGCTTATCTCAACCTTCTTTAACACATAAGTTAAACCGCCACCCTCCTCCATTTACTCTCTCCACTCCCCCCCAATCCACCCACCCTCATCACCCATATCTTCAACGGTCGGATTTTCTTGCGTTCTCGGCTTTCGGCTCGTTGCTGCTCAGTGGTGACGGCCTCTAATTCACTTATGCCTCTGTAGCCACTGATGCCGGCCGCCGAAGCATCCCCCGTCGCATCTTCCGATTCCGGTTTTATCACGATGGAAGACCGGAAAAGAGCCGCTGCTTATGACCACAACGACTCGGCTCCACCATTGAAGAGGCAGGCGACTTCTGTCAATGGTGGTAGCAAGCCGCACCCCGATGCTGACATGCCCTGGAAGGATGATCTCGAGGTGAGTGCCACGAATAGCCCACGTGGGTGTCAACTTACCCCAAGGGTTACCCTAGAAACCCTTCCCAACGCCAAAGTCGACTGGATCGTGGACTCAACCGGGCGAGATACTGACGTCTCTTCGTCGCAGCGATTCCAAAAAGACGCAATATGGCGCCAGATGCAGGAGTACAAGCGGGAGAAGGTCTCCCTTGAGGCCAAGTTGAAGGAGTTATCCAAGTCGACCACCAATCATAATGATCACCTACGTATTATCGATGCCTGGTACAAACAAGTGAGTAGATCACCGCATTTTGCTCGCTCTGTGTTCAAGGCTGATTGATGCTCCTTAAGTTGATCGATGAAGTTAAAATACTCATGGGCGCTCCGGAAGAAGATGCCAAGGGTGGGTCCGCCGTGAGGCCACCAGTCGTTCGACCCCCAGCCACTAACCATTCCACAGAACCCTCGTCTTTCCAAAGCAGTCTCTTGTTTGATGATAATGAGAAGTTTGAGAAACATCTCAAATCTCGGTCGGAAGATATCCGGAGAATAATCTCGAGCGTGTTGTCTAAATCAGCGAAAGTCTCGCCCGAGGTCTCAGAGTTGCAGACTCAACTCGCAAAGAAATTAGCGGAAGAGAAGGCCACTATCAGCGACCTCGAGAAGGCGTTGGCGGAAAAACAGCAGCTAGAGGAGAGCTTGGAGGAGGCATCTCTACGTTACATGGTCGCTGAGAAGAAACTTGATCGTGCACGGAGCGTCACTGTCGCCAAACTAGAAAAGCAGTATATTCTCGGGGCCCAGCGGCCCGGGGGTGATAGTGCATCTGGACCGCGGGATGAACCGTCAGCCTCGAACGGCGCAACCCCGAGTGGTGAACGAAGCCCTGCGTTGGACGAAGCCCACAACAAACTCGCGGCCATCTCGGAAAAGCAAAAGGAACAGCTCCAGAAATTGGAGGCCGAGAACGCCAAATTGTTAAGCCAAATCACTGATTTGAATATCAAGGTATGCTCCTTACAATGTTCTCTCAGCCTGGAAGCACTAACATAGGCGTAGCATACACGATTGACGGACGATGATTATGCAGGCACGGACCTGTTCAAACAGTTGAGATCTCAATACGACGATGTTGTTACTCGAATAAACCACTTAGAGGCGACTAATGTACAACTTCGCGAAGAAGCGGCAAAACTACGGTCGGAACGAACTGCATACCGCAACCAGGTAGATGAGGAGACGCAGGGTGTGATTGCCGAGAGGGAAGCGCAACTGATGCGGGCTGAGACGGATTTGGCACGGATACGGAATGCGCGCGACGAATTATTGGCGGATCAACAAATGCGAAAGGCCGCGCAGGAGCAGGAGAAAACCACGGCCATCAAAGTCCAGGAACTCGCGGATGCAGGCCAGGCTCGAATTGCAGCCCTGGAATCCGAGGTGGAGCGCTTGCGTGTCGAAGTTGAGAAGGAGAAGGCCGCCGCACCGAGTGTCGATGAAATTCCAACCGAAGAATTGCGTCTTCGATTTCGCAATCTAGAGCGCCAATACGCGATGCTTAACACCGAGTTATCCTCGATGCAGATTGCTTGCAAAAAGTATTCGTCTCTGGCTTCACAGAAAGTCACCGATTTTGGCGCTCTGGAAGAAAAGGTTGCACGGCTCATAGCGGAGAAGTCCAAAGCAGATCAAAAATACTTTGCTGCGATGAAAAGCAAGGAAGCTCGGGAATTGGAGGTTCGCACTTTGCGTATGCAGAACTCCAAGAGCTCGGACATTGTCACGCAGCTGAAGGAATCGGAAGCCGCAACCCGGAATTTGCTCGCGAACATGGAAAAGCAAGTGAGTGAGACCAAGGAAGCACTGAACAGCTTGATTACCAAGAACCACGCTGCGCAACAACAAATCACGGAAAACAATATCACGATTGAGGGTCTGAACAGGCAAGTGGCGGATCTCAAGGCGTTGTCGGCATCTAAGGATTCGACACTTTCCAGTACGGCCAGTGCTTGTCGTAAAGCCGAAACGGAAGTGGAGGGCTTGAAGGCTACCTTGGCGGACACCAAGAAGAGTCTAGACATCTGGAAGAACAAGAGTCTTGGCAACCAGTCGTCTGAGTATGAGATGCTGCGGGTCAGTACTACGTCTTATAATTGCAGAGGAAAGTTCGTTCCCATTGCTAACAATTCTATAGACGCTTGCGCTCTGTACAGTTTGTCGCCGGAATTTCAAAAATACAGCGATCAAGACTTGCGGCCACGTCTTCTGCAAGGATTGTGTCGAAGAACGTCTCACCTCGCGGTCACGCAAGTGCCCTAACTGCAACAAGTCCTTCGGCAATAACGACTACATGCATATCACTCTGTGATCTGATGTCACCTCTCCGTTTATAAATCTCTTGTATCATAGTCTACCTTTCCCTTTTCCCCTTTCCCCTTCCCTATTTCCCTTCCGACTTGCCATTCTGCCGTTCTCACTCCCGATTTTCTCTTTATGTCCGTTTTATTACCCTTTTTCTCTTTTTCTCTTTTTCTTTCTACCCCATATCTTTCTCTAATCATGGAAAAAGGCTCATGGTGCGGTGTTTTACTGTGTTTTTAGCAGGATAGGATTTTCAAGAAGGCCGGCGTTCGATTCAGATCTGTTCCTTTTTGATCAGATATCTTCTTTGCATATTGGCCGGGTTGTTGGTCTTCGGGTTACCGGTTTGATTCCATTTTCCTCTTTACTTTCCGTTTTGTTCGATTCCCTGTTTGTGTTTTGAGGCGTCCTCCTTGGATACCCACGTGAAGTTGAGATGAGGTATGCAGCTCACATGTAGGATTAACTTTAGAAAAAATAACTATATTGATGAAAGAGACCACACAAAGATGCTGAACGCAGCCCAGATTTATCCAATGCTCCAATATTCCGCCATTACCCAGACTCTTGCGCTGACCTGCCATGAAAAAAAAAAAAAAAAAAAAAAGAAAGAAAAACACAACCAATGCCCCCCAAAAGACAAATGACTCCGAAAGAAAATGCAACTATGCTTGGTGTGGTTGGTGGTGATCAGGAATTGAAGATCCGACTGTACAGCAGCTCGTGTCTGCCCACCCACAGATCCAACGGCGGCACGATCTGTCCGGCGTCCTCGACGGGGGTATCCCATTCCTTGTCGATGCGTTCAGTGATCATGTCCTGCAGACGCTGGCTGGCCAGCACGCTCTGCGCCTGGTACGGGCCCATGACCGAGGCCCGCACCGCCGCACTCAGCACCGCCTTGGCGTGGTTCACCATGAACACATACGCCGTCTGGCGGGCATCCATGCCCATGGCCGAGCACACGACACCCCACAGCGGCGCCAGATGACCCTTGGGCCCCAGCTCGTTCGCCGTATCGCCGCACAGCTTCAACGCGTCCGAGAAATCGGCAATGGCCTGCACCGCGGCGGCCGCGGCGGGGGTGAGGGTCGTTGTCGTCGTCGTCGTCGTCGTCGTCGCGGCGTAGGAGGCCCGGAACGCACGCTCCCAGACCCCGATCAAAGCCCGGCCCTGGGCGACACTCGCGCGCTGCGCCACGATGCAGGGCGTTGAGGCGTCCATGTCGTTGTCCAGCGTCTCCAGGTCCTCGGGGTACCGGTATGCGGCGAGCACGTAGGGGATGGAGGTGCTGGCCATCGAGGCGATCGAGAGCTTCAGGAAGCGATGGAAGGAGGCCACGGGGGTGACGGTGCGGGGCAACGGTTTGTTGTGGGCCAAGTAGGATTCCAGGCCGCTGGAGTAGGCGAAGGAGCCCAGCGGGAGGGCGGAGTCTGAGAGGAGGAGGAGCGCGTGCGAAATCGGGATTGAGGGTGTTGTTATTGCTGTGTTGCCTATGTGGTTTGGTGAATCAGGAGGTGGGTTACGGTTGTAGATGGGGTATGTATGTACATACCCTTGGTGGGAGTCATGTCGTAGTCGGAGTCGTCATCGTTGTGGTTGCTGTACGGCGGCAGTAGCGGTGTGGAAGGAGAGGACGATGCCAATGCTAGACGTTTCCGAGCATGTTGGAGGCGAGATTCGAGATCGATGATCTCTTGCTCTAGGTCTCGAGTGGTGATTTTGACGGCCATTGGGTGGGGTTCAGCGTTCTTTCCAAGGTAGGAGAGGAGGTTCTTGGGAGGGATTGGGGGGAGGGTAGCAATTGACAATTCATGATGCCTGGCAAGGGGGGGGTGGCGCTTTGTTATAGCTCTTTCAAGGTGAATTCCCCTTCCCCGCCAGCCGCGCCATCTTTTTTTGTGCAATTTCCCCTTATCGGTTGAAGCGCCGATAACGGGTCCCATCGGACTCGGAGCTGACCGGGTGGAAGTCGAGATAAATCAAGTAAACATGATACGTAATTGGAAGAAGCCAAGTTTCTTCGCGGTGAGACCCGGCAGAAAAGCATCCGGTCGCGTGCGGGAAATTACAGTCCACGCGGTTTCCACTAATGCGTTCATGAGTCCGGCATTACCGGTTTCTGGATAGATTATCGCTCTCCTTCGGATCGAACCATGCGCAGAGATTAAGCCTGGAGCATTGAACGGGCTACCTTTTATATATACCTTACAGGCGTGCACAGACAATGTCGGGCAAGCGTCTATTGGACGTCATTCAATTGTGCAATGTCGCCGGGTCAGTGGCCGCGAGGCATCTCGCCATCCGCCAGCGCCAGATAGATCTATACACCCGCACTTCCACCCTCACCAAGGGCATCAAGAGCCAGGTCGATGGCCTGTGTCTCTCGGCGCAAGCTGCAGCTGCACTAGCCAGGCGATTCAATGAACCCGACCCCGACCCCTACCGTCCGTCCGAGTCAGCACCCACGACCGCATCAGGCTACACGGAGCCGACCCCGACCACCACCCGCAGTGCGACATCCGATCTCTCCCCCTCTCAGGCGCGGCAGGCACAAAGACAGGCGGAAGCCCAAATTCCTTCGCGGGTCGCGGACCACAATGGGGGCGGACAGGCTAGTCCTTTGGATGTCAGTCAACAACAGGATGTGTTCTACGAACCTCCTAAGCACTCCACAGCGGGTGACTCGGGGCTTCCCCGGATGAAGTTGCCCAAGACAGCGAGCGACACACAAATCGGGGCCGATCGCGATATCGATGCGGACGTGTTCCGATCTTCGGTGAAGACTGCCTCGGTGGATCAGTCCGCAACCAACAATCTGGCCGAACCGACCGAAATTCCGGAGGAGATGATGAAGGATATTTTCCACAGTCCCAGAGTCGCAAGGATGATGTCTCGAAAGCCGGCTGCGGATATGCGGTACAAGCAGGCGGGCGCGGTGCCTCGGGCAGAGCATGCAAAGCGAATCGAACAGGAGACAGAAGAAGCTCGTGCTGTGGGGGAGATGGTCGCGGAAGCGGCAGCGGCGGTATGTTGAGCAGTGGTTTGGTCCTGCAATGGATGAAAAGCTGACTTTCTTCCGCAGAGAGAGCCAGAAACGGCTGCCGCCTTGAAGAACCAGAACACATACAAGATGGTCGAGTCCCGTGTCCCGTCATCCCGCATCGGGAGATTATGGCAATACGGCGGACTGGCTACTTCAATGGCGTGGGGTGCCATGGGCGAGGGTCTTCGCAGGGTCACAGGCAGTCAAGCCGAATCATCCGGGTCGCTTATGTTCAGCGCTGCGAACACGGAGCGGCTCGTAGCTAAATTGTCCAAGATGCGCGGAGCTGCCCTCAAGTTAGGACAGATGATGAGTATTCAAGGTATGCGCACCCTCCAAGCTTCGATTCTTCCGGACTAATGGAGTTCGCTCGCAGACACAAAGATGCTTCCTGAAGCTATTCATCAAGTCCTCCAACGAGTTCAAGACCGAGCAGACTATATGCCTGCCTCGCAACGCGACAAGGTGCTGACTGACAACCTTGGCCCGGACTGGCGCGATCTATTCTCTTCCTTCGAAGATATCCCCATGGCCGCTGCCTCGATCGGCCAAGTGCACAGTGCCGTTTTGAAACGTACCGGCCAACCCGTGGCCGTCAAGATTCAATACCCCGGGGTCGCTGACTCCATCGACTCCGACCTCAACAACCTCTCCATCCTCCTCACGGCATCCCGCCTCCTCCCCCGAGGCCTCTACCTCGACAAGACCATCGAGAACGCTCGCACCGAACTCGCCTGGGAATGCGACTACATCCGCGAAGCCGAATCAGCGAACCGCTTCCGCGAACTCCTCCGCGACGATCCCGTCTTCCTCGTCCCCGAGATCATCCCCGAAGCGTCCGGCAGGCAGGTGCTCACCATGGAGCGCCTGGAGGGCATCGCCGTGACCAAGATCCAGGATTTCACGCAGGCCCAGCGCGACTGGATCGGCACGCAGATCATGCGCCTCTGTCTGCGGGAGATCACCGAGTTCCGGTACATGCAGACGGACCCCAACTGGACCAACTTCCTCTACAACGCGCGCACCGACCGCCTCGAGCTGCTGGACTTTGGCGCCTCGCGCGCCTACCCGACCGAGTTCATCACCAAGTACGTCCGCACCCTCGTCGCCGCCTCCAGCAACGACCGCGACGCCTGCCGCCGCTTCTCCCTCGAGCTGGGCTACCTGACCGGCCACGAGAGCCAGGCCATGGTCGACGCCCATGTCACCTCCGTCATCACCATCGCCGAGCCCTTCATGGAGACCTCCCCCGACGTCTACGATTTCCGGGATCAGACCATCACCGACCGCGTGCGCGCGCTAATCCCCGTCATGATCCGCGAGCGGCTCACGCCGCCCCCCGAGGAGACGTATAGTCTGCATCGCAAGTTGAGCGGGGCGTTCTTGCTATGTGCTAGGCTGGGGAGTAGGGTTCCTTGTAAGGAGCTGTTCCGGGAGGCGATTCGGAGGGCGGAGGCGAAGGGGCTGAATTGACGGGATGTCGCGAGTGGTGGGGTTCGTGGAAACATTATTCCGAGGGATTTGCCTCGTTTCTGGTTGAGCAAGGATAGAAGATCTTTCAACTCTTGTATATTAGTATAGATATTGTGTATGAATAAGGACATGACTTGACACGTTCCACGATTAACTCTAGTAAGTATACAGGTGCATACCGCAGATGATAAGACACGACAACACCAAAAAAGAATTTACTGCCCATCAACAGGGATTGAAGCTGTTCACACCTCAGCCAACCTGAAATCCTGACTTCTCCAGTTCAACAGGTGCTTGCTACTTAGATGACGCAATCACCTGCACCCCAGAACCCCGGGACTCCAGACCTACCTACCTACCAACCAACCAACCAACCCCACCATCGCCCTCCATATATCGCCCGGTAGTACTTCTCCACCCTCTTACAGACCCCCTTCCTCCCCTCCCAGGCGCGGAACCTCCCCTCGAGCTCGCACGCGGTCCACCGGATCTCCTCCCAGAACTCCTTCTCGACGTCCCGGCCAAATGCCCGTATGATCTCCGGCGGCCCGGTCCAGGCGCGGGTGTAGCGGCCATCGTCCCCAATGGCAGGGTTGACCTCGTGCGCGTCGAAGACGGTGGCCGGATCGAATTTCGGGTAGTTGGCGTGGATGAAGAAGGCGCGGGGTGTGCGGGTGGCCGTGCTGGTGGTATTGGGGGATGACAGGAAGAAGCCGTGCGCTTGCGGCTGGAGTTTGTGGGCTTCCTCCTCGCGGTGACGATGAAGATCAAAGTCCTCGGTGGGGTCGAACTGCACCATGGCGGAGCCCGCGAAGCCGCCGCGCTGCGTGGTGTGGCCGATGGCGCAGAGGGGCTCGGCGACCTGGTAATGCGGCTCCGCGAGCGCCGTGGCCGCCGCCACGAAGGTCTCCTTGTCGCCTTCTCCGGCGGCGCCCTGCGACAGCAGCGGGTAGTAGAACTCCGGGCCGTGGATGTTGTAGTACGTGCTGAGCAGGAGGGTGCGCAGGTGGGATGATTTTGAGAGGAGGATTTCGCCGGATTCGCTGGACGGGCGCGTCGGGGGTTTCGGGGCGGGTTGGCCCGTGATCTCGTAGTAGGAGGGGGAGATCGTTGAGGCCCAGAAGTCCGGCCAGGTGATTAGGCCGTGCGAGAGGAAGGGGTCTCGCGTGAAGAGGGCCTCTGGGGGAGAGAGCGCGTAGGCGTCCGCGTCGAGGAAGAGGATCTCCTCGAAGGAGGAGAAGAGCATCGCGAAGAGCTTGAATTGGTACTTTTCGATGTGGATGGAGTGCGGGATCGCGTTGAGGATAGTGGAGAGCACAATGCATTGCGCGTTCAGGGAGGGGAGGATCACGTCGCAGATGTACGTCTCGTACTCGTCTTCGCTGGCGAGGAAGACCTCGACGGGGAGCTGGGAGCCGGTGCGTCGAAGCATGCGCAGGGATAGCACGAGCACGGGGAGGTAAGATCCTCCGGCGGTGGACACGAGGCCGCGCGTGTTGCGGGTGTAGTTCAGTTGAGGTGGCGTGGTTTTGATCGCGTTCAGGAAGCCCCTATGCGTCTGTTGCAGGTCCTCGATGTCCATGGGGAGAAGATCGAGGAACTCGGTTTGATCGTAAGGGTCCGCCTGCTCGAACCGGATGGAAGGTGCCATCCCCAGCCTTAGAGGGGGTAAGCATTTGGGTTCGTAAGTGGTCAGTAGGGGTTGAAATTGACGCCAGAATTCGATGTGGCCTTCAATCGCATGACGCCAGGTGAGCTGGGCTTGTCTGGGGGCAGCTGGGTCCTCTATTGAGGTGGCTTCGGGTGCATCACTCTGCTTGTGCCAGCGCGAGAAAGACTGGCTGCATATCAACACGAACAATAGGCCCGCCAAAATTATGCGTATGCGTACGCGCAACGCCGCGCGACTTGGGAACATTGCTCTTCGGAATTCATGAATCAGGTGATTCTCAGGGTAGTGAGACTGTTGTTGGGCAAGCGCTTATTGAATCGGGTCTCTATTGTAACTTTGTGACCCCCCCCCCCGAGGCGAAGAAGTTGTACAGTCGCAAATTTCACGATAAGGAAAGGTCTAGTCGATATGTTTCACTGTGTCTGTTGGGGTTGTATGGAGACTCAATGCTTTACAGGCGCTAAATGGAAACACGAGAGACAGACTTGGATGCAGACGACTGCGAGAGACACAAAATGTTGCTTGGGGGATAAACAAGTAGGCGGGAATGTAGTGAGAATGGGTCGTCACCATGAGCAGAAATAAAGAATAGGAGTTTTGAATTGATCGAGACAGTACAGGTCCGCCTGAGTTCCATAGGTGAGAATGAATGAATTTGCTGCAATTCAAGACTCGCGGAAACACCGGGTATGACGCTCACCATTATCGTCTCATGCTCAATGTCACCATAAACCCATCCAGCGTTTCATGTTGTTAGGGCAGGGTGAACCCAGGTTCCTGGCACCAATAGAAGCCTGAGTGAATAACCCAAATATCACAAATCATAAACCATAAACTAAAAGTGACTCGAGCATATATAATACTCTCGCCTATGTCTCAAGTAATTTGAGGTGAAGTAATCGGATGGACGAGATGACGGATAGGGAAGAATGTAAGATGCTGGATGCGCCAATGCGGCCCGATGGTCGATGGGCGATCCTTTTGCTGAGGTAGCATTCCCCATGTTTCCCTATAGGCAAATGTCCATTTGGTAGGCCCAGACCTTCAACCACGGACGCTTGAAATCCAACTGCACCTGAACCCCCTAAACTAATCAAATCAATTGCATCACTAGCAGGCATAGTTTGTGGAGAAGCATGTTTGAGCCCTCCACTGCATCATGGCTTCATTGCTTTGGATCTGAAAGACTTTTATCTAGAATGGCTCGAGCTGCGGCTGGCCTCCTCTTCCTCGACAATCGTGTCAGCTAGAAGAGCAGCCTTTTTCAGATCCCTCGAAGCTTGTCTCCCGTGCCATGCTGTGAAGTAATCATCCTCAGTACTGGGATCGCTTGCAGAAGGCGTCGTCTTCGTAGTGTCATCGAGGAGGTCATCATTACTCCCATAGAACTTTCGGGCAGCGGTACCCAGTACAAACTTTACCAGCCGATCTGCTGTCTCGACGGTGATTGTAGTTGTGCCGAACAAGATCAATCCAAGGCCGATTCCTGCCAGGATGGCGATCGCAAGGAAAGCAAATAGAGCCTGCGAGCGTCATATGAGCGCTCTCTATCTTCTTCTTGCGATACGAGAGGGACAAAGCACGCGAATGATTTACGTACCTCAAACTTAACAAGTATCCTCAAAGGCAGCAAGATGATATGAACCGCGAAGTAGCCCAGTGCTACCAATGGCGAGGTCAGAATGCGCAGCAGTGTATATGCCCAGCGCACAAGGTAAAGAGTAGGATAGAATAAGGCATTGAAGCCGCCCCGCAGAATTGACAGCCAAGCCATTTGCTCAATTGAAATGACAAGACCCTCCCACCGGGACTAGTTTCACCTTAGTATTTCAGAATATATTAAGCAGCCCAGGACTGTCGCGAACGTGTCTAGAGAGTCCATGTCAGGGAGAGGCTGGTAATCTGCTTAGGTCAAGCGGTCTGGGGCGGCAGAAGAGCGGATATTCCCCGCGATCGTTACAAGTAAAGCAGGTGCGATGCACTTCCGATTTGAAGACATGTTCTTAGAAAAGAAGCTGGAAGGCCACCCGATATAAATTGCAGGACAACAATGTACAGTACAGCACAGGGTGCGAGTGCCTCGTGAATTGGACAGGATGGTAGTATAAGGCCGACTCTTGGTTTCGGTACAACTATTGGCGAACAAATACTGAGCAAGATACGGAGTAGCGGCCGGAGCGAAAGCCGAAGATGGGAAAAGCGGGGGTCGGGGATAAAATGAGACTCAGTCAAAACAGTCCGCAACCCTAAGCCCTAAGTAGACCTTCCTGGCCCAGGCTTGTCTCCTTTCTAGTACTAGTCTGGGGTCGACATCGACATCATCAATCATCAACGCGGCAGCCCATCAGCATCTCCCCCCGTTGCGATTATCCTCCACCCGCCTTTGTTGATCTGGACTCTTTTCATTCTCAAGATAACTTTGCTACTTATTTCCCCTCATTTACTGTGCTACGTCTGTCGATCATTAAGGTGTTCCCTACCCAGTTGTCGATCTCTTATTCTTCTCGGGATTCCATTACCCCTCCGCCGTCAGAGGCCGACCTCCGGATGCTGGCATCTTTTTCTATGCGCCTTTCTTAAACATCTTTCGTGCAGCGTCTTACTACAAACCCTGATACTCTCAGCTTCACTCCTTGGTTAATAAGTGTCTCGGCATTCTTTGTCCAAATGGGCAACAATCCTTCCAAGGGCCCGGCCGGAGACGCCCAAACCCCCTCGGGTCACTCGGGCCTAACGGCACCCGCAAGTGACAAAAGGGTACATCGTCGACCTTCGGTCAATGCCCCATCGGGTACCACGAAGGCTTCCGCAGCCGATCCTTCTGCCACCAGAGAGACTGCAAAGGGTTATCCAACATCGCAAAGCCACCATTCTGTTCAACAACGCCTACAATCCCGCAATGTCGCTGACTCCGCAACAAGACCCGCAGATCGTCCGACTCCCAAAAAAGCAGACCTTCGCGATGGTGACATCCCTTCGCCTGACCCTTCGAACCCAGTACAAGTCCCTGTTTCTCGAGCCACTGCTAGGAACGACCCCATGGCGCCCTCTGGGGCGCCGCCAAACGTATACTACAGCGCCTCCGTTCATCTTCAGCGCCCTCCGCGCATGCCGCTACCCATTGGCGATGCTACAGCTGTTGGCCGAGAAGATGGTTATATGGAGTCGCTGCCCGTCGACCAGCTTTTGGACGAACATATTGAGCAAAGGCACCCGAGTCAAGGAAGCACCACTGTGGAGGATGATGAGGTATTGGACGAGCTTCAGCCTTTTACGCCTAGCGGAATGGGAAGGGCGGTACCGACAACCATTGAGTGGACCGGCCCTGGAGACAAAGTTTATGTAACTGGAACATTCGTGAATTGGGAAAAGAAGTTCCGTCTACACAGAAGGTACGTGACTACCACCGCACGCGTCTCAGCAGCGATTGCTCGATCTCTTCCAGCTCCTATGTTGTTTCGAAATGTGGTGCTTTGGAAAGAGAACTTGCGGCTGCCGCTTCTTTCAATCGTCACTAGCCACCTGGCTTTCGATGACTGATCGATTATCTCTGGAGCAGTGAGAACAAGCCAGGCGTCATGTCAGCTAGATTAAATCTCCGTCCGGGTACCCATCATCTCAAATTCATTGTCGACAACGAAATGCGGGCTTCTGATACTCTTCCCACGGCGGTGGACTTTACGAACCACTTGGTCAACTATATCGAGATCAGTGCAGATGACATTAATCGGGGGCGGAGAGAGAGCGACAAGGGCTCGGTTCCCCCGGGTATTCGTCCACCTCAGGTCCTACCTGACCCAGCCACTCCCGATCAGGAGGGCGGTTCCACCGTGGACGATCAATCCGATAAAGAAGAGCCAGAGGAGGAGATACCTCTTGGTGATTTCCGCGGTATCATTCCCCAGTTTCTTCTCGACCTGGACAAAGAAGAGGAAGCGCCTGAGTATCAGCAAGCTGTCAATATCGTTGGGGATGCTCCAACGCCACCAAGTCTCCCACTCTTCCTTGGAAAGTCCATCCTGAACGGCACTACACCGATGAAGGATGATAGTAGTGTATTGAACTATCCCAACCACACAGTGCTCAACCATCTTGCTACAAGCAGCATCAAGAACGGTGTTTTGGCCACTAGTGTGACAACTAGGTACAAGCGAAAGGTGAGTCCATCGTCTGTATTTGTTGTCCTGCTCCTAGTGTTCCTTGTCTGATGTTGACTCGGATTAAACAGTATGTTACGACAATTTTGTACAAGCCTACAGGAGATATCTCGGAGTAAGAACAGGTAGAATTGACTCCTTTTACTGCTCTCTCCCCTGCATGGCCAGAACAGTGTGAGTATTGACTCGGTATCCAACCGCACGGGAAAGTTTGTCTTATGCAAAATGAAGCTCGCTGTATAACTCATCGATATGAAATAGATGATTTGAGAATTACGGATAGTTGACTTCCGTTGCATTTTATTATCAAGGTGTCTCAAGTGCCATAGATCCACATATAGTCGGGCATGAAATCCAAGCGGACTGGATCTTGAATACCCCCGATCTGCTTGGAACAATAAACTTGAGATGCAGGGTCTGCTCCCCTGCTCCATGTTGCTCTGTTATTGAGGTGGTGCATGACTAGCGATTAGCATCGGCTGATAACCACTGAATGCCGGCTAACGAACGGTCCCGCGGTTCCTAGGCGTTCTCACTATGGTTCATACAAATAGTTGTACGATGTATATCCGAAACAAGCTTCTACCAAGTTCCTCAATATTGAGAAAGGGCCGGTGAGTCCACAGATGACGCATTATCCGACAGCTTCCGGCGCAAGGCTATCTGATCTTGGTTGTAGTCTTTGATATAGGAATAGAAGGAGCGATCGGTCAATGAGTATTGGATAGGCTGCACCAGTGCTACTGACTATCCTGCAATGTCGACTTAAGTATGACTTTCAAGCGCCGAACCCTGCAGCCTCTTTAAAGACATTTGTCTAAGTTCTATTACTTATATCATGAAAATCATAACTCTTGATCAATTCGGCACACGGTTCAATCCCGCCATTTCACCAGAACCTCGTCCGTGCGAAACCGTTGCGTACAAGTCGCGTCCTTGAGCGGCGTCCGGAATCCAGTTTTGTAGGCCATCAGACCGGCCTGGGCAATCATAATGCCGTTGTCGATGCAGTATCTCTCGTCCGTGGCATGCACGGTGCCCCCGCGGTCTCGAGCCATGATGCCCATCATCTCTTGCAACCGTTCATTACATCCCACACCACCAACAATCAGCACTTCCTTCGATCCCACATGCGCCATCGCACGTTCCGTGATCTCCACCAGCATAGAGTAAACGGTCTCCTGCAGTGAGAAGCACAAATCCGCGCGAGTCGGCTTCCCATCGTCTGCTTCCCCGGAGGCAGAGTCCGCGCCCTCGTCCTTGCCGTCCCACTCCCCATCAAGTCCGTACTGAACGGCCAGCGCATCAATTGCTGCTAGAACCCCAGACATGGAGATGTCCATTCCCTTGACGGTGTAAGGCAAATCCACGAGTCGTTTGCCCTTCTTGGCCAACTGTTCGATGTTATAGCCCGGCGCAGGGTCATTGGAGATTTGTAGCGTGCGTGCGAAGCGGTCCAGACAGTTTCCGACGGCGATGTCAAGGGTCTCGCCGAAGATGCGGTACCTCTGCGAGCTGTATGCGATCACTTGGGTGTTTCCGCCGGAGACGTAGAGGACGACTGGGTTCGTGGCGCCGGTGATGGCCCGACCCATTTCAATATCTGGCAAGCTTAGGGTTAGCGACGCGGTGGATCAATTTGCGGCTACTGTGTCCAAGATCCCGAAGGAGGGTCAAGGGTGGGTAAAAAGAAAAGGGGGGCAGATGAATAGATGGAGATATTAGAGGGGGGCCAATGCGTCGCGTCTGTCCCCACATGGCACCCCTGTGGAAGAAGATCTTGATAACGGGCTTGCAGAGATGACGATGTTGTATACTTACGCCCAACACAGTGATTCACTCCCACCAACTCCTTGCCCCAAAGTAGACTCAACATGCGCGCGGCAATGGCGCAACTCTGCAGAGGGGCGCCCATGCCAGGACCCTTGGTGTAACAAATACAGTCAACATCCTTGACGGAGACCAGCGCATCTCGCAGGGCTTGCTTGACCAGTTTCACCACCCAGGCGCGATGGTGGCGGGCAGTGTCCTTGGGAAGGAAACCCTCGCCGGGAGGAGTGACATAGGTGTGCCGCACGTTCGCAAGCACCTGCGGGGTGCTGCCATCTTTCGGGTGGAAGATAATGCCCACTCCGACTTTGTTGGCAGAGCCTTCGATTCCGACGGCAATCATGGTGGAAGGCGCGGCGCATATGCCTGGAAGTATATAAATTGACTAGTAGGGCTTTTTGCGCAAGGATTGACCGGATTGCAAGCTAAGCCGACAGATCACCGCTTCGGAGAAGCTGTTCAAAAAATGAACCTCGAAAGCCGGGATGAGCCAGTGATGGAGGGGCAAATTCGGGCCTGGTTCGGCTTTATCAGCAACGTTATCGATTGGTCGCCAGAGTCTGGGACGGCAAATCCGCCGCAGCGTTTATCCGGCGGTACAGACAACTAAAGTAGGTAAGGTAGAACTGCCTGTCACTCAACAAGTGGTAGGTTAATACTAAGTACGGTACGGTAGGACTCGGTCTATCAGCGTCGCTAAGTCCAACTACTCTCTAACTAACTAATTACTCAGGTCTACTTACCCACCCCCCATTTTCTCCATTCTCTCTTCACCTTCTCCTTCCCCCCCCCTCCTTCTCGTGACACCTCATCAACCACGTCTTACCTTTCTCCAACCTCTCCCCCCTGTTCTCTTGGGTTTTATTTCCCTCTCCCCTGGAATTTCCGCGGCCGCTAGACGGTGGGGGGTTGCTCAATTTCCGTTTTCTCTGGTGTGACGGCCATTCCACACCACACAACTCGACCTCTTGTCGTCCCACATCATGTCCTCCCCTACCCATTTTCCAGATGCACACCACTTCCAGCAACAATCAGATGAGTTCATCACCTGGCTGTCTAGTCTCCCGGGCGTCAAGTTGAACCCCAAGATCCAGATCGCTGATCTGAGGGTCAGCGGCGCCGGCCGAGGTGTCGGTATGTTTCCCACCCTCCCTAAACGAGATTTTTGTTCCACATTGATCTTGTCTCATTGTATGCCTGCTTTGTGGATGTTGTTCCCCCTCTCTGATATTCTCGTGTCACTCTACCAGTGGCTCGACTCGATCTCGAAGAAGGCGAAGAGCTTTTCACCATCCCCCGCGCTCATGTCCTCTCCGTTCAGAATTCGAATTTGAAGGATCTGGTCTCCCACGACCTGGAAGAACTTGGCCCATGGCTTTCGCTCATGGTGGTCATGATCTATGAGTATCTTCGCGGTGACCAGTCGCCCTGGGCACCGTACTTCAAAATCCTTCCTCGGAATTTTGACACCCTGATGTTTTGGTCCCCAGCCGAACTCGCGGAGCTCCAAGGCAGCGCCATTGTGAACAAAATCGGACGACAGGGCGCAGAAGAATCCATACTCGAGTCCGTAGCCCCCATTGTTCGGGCAAACCCTTCCCTGTTTCCTCCCATCGACGGTCTAGCCTCTTTTGACGGAGATGTCGGTACACAAGCTCTCCTCCACCTTGCTCATACCATGGGATCGCTTATCATGGCCTATGCGTTTGACATCGAGAAGCCTGAGGATGAGGATGAACGCGATGGAGAAGATGGCTATGTTTCAGACGAAGAGGAAGGACAGTCGTCTAAAGGAATGGTCCCTTTGGCCGATCTGCTCAACGCAGATGCCGATCGCAACAATGTAGGTGACCTTCCATTTATTCTGAGCCTCATGGCCCCAATTAATGCTTCTATACAGGCTCGTCTCTTCCAAGAGGAAGAAATTCTTCTTATGAAAGCCATCAAGCCTATCGCAGCTGGTGAGGAGATTTTTAATGACTACGGAGAGATCCCCCGGTCAGACCTCCTGAGACGGTACGGGTATGTCACCGACAATTATGCTCCGTTCGATGTCATCGAGGTATCCCTCAGCAATATATGTCAGGCCGCGGGTCTTTCGAGTGCTGATGTCGAGTCGCAACCTCCGGTATACTCCTGTTTCAAGTCTGCTGCCAACATGCCTATACTAATTTTTACCATAGCTCCGGTTCCTAGAAGAGTTGGAACTCCTTGATGACGGCTATGCCATCCCACGACCCTCTCCTGAAGATCAGTTGACAGACATCCTTCAGGATGAATTGCTTTTGTTGCTCAAGACTCTATCCTTGTCGCCAGAACTTCTGCAGAAGCAAGTATCCAAGAACAAGCCTCCCAAGCCGACTTTTGGCGAAGCCGAAGCTACCATACTTGGTAGAGCGCTGGAGCTCAACCAAGCGCACTACTCAACAACCATTGCACAGGACCAGGACCTTCTTGCTCAATTGAGCCAGCCAGGCGCCTTCAACCCTGCTGATACCTATGTGCGCCGCAAGGCGATGGCTATTCAAGTCCGCCTTGGCGAAAAAGAAGTTCTCCAAAGTCTCTTTACGATGCTCAACGACCACATCAGCAATCAGGCCAACGGGTCCGCGGCCAAGCGCCCTGCCAACGACGACCACGACGAATCGAGACGCCCCAAGGCTTTCAGGTCTTGAAGCTCTTGCTCCCTCGCATATCTGACTATATTCGAAAAGAAATTTCCAGAAAAGTCTTCATCTCTTTTTTATCTTAATTGATATTATTCTTGTTTTCTTCGTTACTAACTTCGTCGCTTCGCTATCCGTACAGAGTCTATCGACTGCTCAAGTGAAGAAAGAGAAAGAGGAACAGAACGGGCTATGTACAGTGGCAATTGCATAAGATCAGGGGTCATGTCATAAGAAAAGCGCATCAGCCCGGCGACGTTATCCCGGATCTCATATGCTTCCCCGCGTTCCAGGAAAAATAAAAGGGTGATGAGGGTATGGCGTGAGTAAAAGTACAGGTAAGGTAAAAGGGGAAATGACAGATGACGCCTGCCAGATGCTGAACATGGGGTTGAAAGAGATTAAAAGGATACGGGGTGGAAGGTGAAGACGTGAGAGAGGAGAAAACGAGAGAAGAGATCCAGCTCATATCTCAAGACGTGGAGGCAACGGCACCAGGCCCGGGATTAGATCCCCCCGCTTGCCCCCCGCTTGGTGATGTGTTGTTAGCCGTGGTTTGTTCGGCCTGCAACTTTCGTTGAGCTTGAGCCTGGGCCTGGGCTTGAGCCGCCTGCGCCTGCGCATGAGCTTGAACCGCCGCCGCTGCCGCTTGATCGCGAGCTTTTGCTGCCATGATGGCTCGATGTTGCATGATCTGGATATCGAATTGGTCCCTCTCATAATCGAGCTCCTCATCTGAATCTTCCTGATCGTACTTGAATCGATCAGCCTTCCACGGATCCATTTCAACTCTACAACGAGCCGCAAGGTTTCGGCGATCGATGAACAAACGACCCCCGCGTCCTATACGTCTCCGGAATGAGGGCATCTTGCTCGTGTCCTCGCTCAGTTCCATGGCATGGGGGGCTATTTTATTCGGGAGGGCAATGGCACTGCGGGTATCTATGGCTGAATCCGTCATGTTGTCGGATGACTCCGACGATGGTGGCGTCGGTAGCTGGGTGGTGATTGCAGGGCGGAATGCAGCATCAAAAGTCCGATCCGGTGACGGGGAGAGCGGTGCTCGTGTGAAATCCACATAGCCCTCGTTCCACTTGATGTGCTTCGTGATATTTTGCTTGATGTCGCGGATGATCTCGTTTTCTTTCTCCGCTTGGACATCTTCCAGCAACTGCAGGTCTTCTGCCGGCTGCGTGCCCGCCTTGGGGGGCATACGCAGTTGGGGAGGTGCTGGGCGCTGCACAGCTGGTGCCTCGACCGGCTTCTTCTTGGGCTGGTGGCATGGTCAGTATCTATGGCTTGGAAGCAGGTCATGATCATCCTTACTCTCTGGTTGATAAGATCCTCATCGTCATCCTTGATATTGAGTTTCCGCTTCATATCCTTGACCTCGGATCTCTGCAGGAAAACCTGCCGTTCGACGGCGAGCACCTCCTTGCGCGCCAACTCACGCTGACGTACAAGTGCAACCAACTGCCGAGCATCTTCCAGTTCCTTTCTGAGCCGTCGCAGTTTGTCCGCGCTTTGCGCATCTCTGCCACGGGTCTTGCGGGTCTGCCGCACCTCGCGCCTTCGGAAGCAGACGTACGGGTCGGTATCATCAGCTTCCCGACCAGCTTCGGCCTGTGAACAGTTAGCGGATCGGATAACCTTTGCCGCTTCATGCGCCAGGGACTCACCTTTGGTGTCGGGAGCAGAGGCTCATTCCCGCCGCTGATGCGTCGCGACTTCCAGTAGTCGTATATGTCCTTGGCGAAACGCTTTACGCTGTCGTCTACGGCTGGATCCATCGCCTCCTGGAACTCTTCGAAACTCATGACCGGGGAGTTATCTACACAAGCATACGGCTGCTCTTTCCTCGACGTCAATTCGAAGAAGCTCATGACTTCCTCAAAGTTGTCTTCTGTGCATTGGTTGGCGGCATCGCGCTTTTGGTTGAAGTTCTTAAGGAACACATCATCGTCCTCGTTCATGCAATATGGAGGTCCGCAGCAGTCCTCGACCGTGGAGGAGAAGCGGATGTATGTCGCGGGCTGCGAGAAGACTGGCGGGTAGAGCTCGTCATATCGGAGGTTACTGAGGACGGTCTCCGGGGTCGGAATATGGGCATCTTTTACTTTGCCCTGGGCCGCGGCACTGATAGCGACCTGCAGATGGAATTCCTGTAGAACGTAGGCGTCAGCGGGCTGTGGTTGTGGCCTTGGCTGGCGGGTGCAAAATTTTCACGACGGGTGAGGTTCGTGATGATGTCACGTGATACATGCAGGGATGCTAGTGATATACGGGGGGGGGAACACAACTCACCGACTCCTCCGCCTTCTCGACACCGGTCTCGATCTGTTGAAGGGCATTTTGGATCTCATCCTCGATAAGATCTATTTCATGTTCGCGGACTATGGGGATGGAGGCCTTGGAGGTGAGCTTTTTCGGGCGCGTCCTCCCCATACCCCCGTACCTAGTCATACGAACTTTGGGGCGCGAGATCGGCCGCTGACCATGGGATGGGGGACCCAAAATTGGTATCAGTAGATAGGTCTGATCATGCGAAAGCACGTAGACGTATTTTTGTGATGAAGTGGATGGTTAAGGGGGGGATATGGACGATAGAAATCTCGTAGTCTTTGCACCGGCGGATGAGTTGACGTTGCAATGTGACCCGGCAGTGGCCTGTTTTGGACCGGTGCACGGCCTCAGGGGTTCGCTTGCCTGTCTGCTTCGGGTTAGTGCGGGGCTGGTCGATATCAAAGTGCCGTTTTGGTCTGTATCGCCTGCCGGTGGAGTCTCCTCTGTTCTCCCTCTCGCCCTCCCGCATTCGGCGTTCATCTACTTGTTGGAGTAATCTAGTTCTGGTTCCCCAGCTGTCATTGTTGCCTCGATTCTTTCACTCGTTGTGGTTCCTGGTTTGAATCGCAGTGAATAGACGAGAAATTTTATTAACACCCTTTCTTCCGCACTCCCCCCTATCCTCCTCCCCTTTACATTCCGCTCAAAACAAAAGCCCACACCATGGACCATTCCAGTGAGCCCAACAATGCCGCCCTGTACGATGCGCGCCGCCGCAGGGGCTCGGTCGGCACCTCTCAGCTTCTCGACAACATAGTTTCTGCCTCCAACTGTTGGTCAAGACTTTCGAACTAACGGTCGTCGTGTGAAACTAATGATGTGTAGTCGATCGCGAAGAAGTTGACCGTCTCCGCAAGCGCTTCATGAAGCTGGATAAGGTTTGTCGTGATCGTGCAGCTTCTTACATGTGACTCTATTCTGACACAACTCTGCGTCATTCAACAGGACAGTTCTGGTACTATTGATCGCGATGAATTCCTTTCTTTGCCTCAAGTTTCATCCAACCCACTCGCCACGAGGTACCTCCTCCTCTCCCTCTCTTTCCTTAGACCTACTATGCCCGATGCAATTCCACACCCCCGCCTTACCCCACTATCATCTCACTACCTACCCCAGCGATCTATCACAGAGGCTAACACCCCCCCAAAAAAACAGAATGATCGCCATCTTCGACGAGGACGGCGGCGGCGACGTCGACTTCCAAGAATTCGTGTCCGGCCTGTCGGCCTTCAGCTCCAAGGGCAACAAGGAGGAGAAGCTTCGATTTGCATTCAAGGTGTACGACATCGACCGCGACGGGTACATCTCCAACGGCGAGCTCTTCATCGTCCTGAAGATGATGGTCGGCAACAACCTGAAGGATGTGCAGCTGCAGCAGATCGTCGACAAGACGATCATGGAGGCCGACAAGGATGGCGATGGGAAGATCAGCTTCGAGGAGTTCACGGAAATGGTGGAGAATACGGATGTCAGTTTGAGTATGACGCTGAGTATGTTGCCCCCTTTTTTGGTCGGCTTCGTCGATCGTTTTGTCTCTCGGTCTGGGTGGTGCTAACTTGCCGGGGTGGTGTAGATTCTATCTAGTCGTTGGTTGGATGATGATGATAGGTGGTGTATACCCATGACTTTGGAAGCCGAGAGGGTGGGTGGGTGTTTGATCTCAATCTTATGGGTATTCTGTGCCCGCCCGCGCACACGCGCGCGCGCGCGTGTGTGTGTGTGTGTGTTTGTGTGTGTGTGATACGACAATTTGTGATTCCCTTTCCCGTCTCTGCGCTGTTATTCTTCCTCGAAATATTACCCTTTGCGATTCGACATGGAACTTGACCTTCATGCAATCTCCTGCGATTTGCGGCATTTAATCCGCCCTGCATCTCGGCTTTGCCCCAACCTCAACTGAAATGACAAACGACTCTCCCTCCTAACCCCCACCGTTTCGCATGGATATGATTATGATAGCGATGACGACCCCCGCCCTCGTCTGCATGGACTGCCTTTCCGCGCCACTTTCCGCCAGCTCTTCCCTTCACGGTCCTTCTGATCACGATGCAGTGCATGAATGGTTTGGGGGGATTGGACTCTGTTTCCTCGTGTCTCTCCCCCTGGATTCGGAGCAGGAAGGGGCGAAAAGGGGCGAGTGTAAATAGGAACGACTAATTACATACGTTACTTTTAGCGAAAATGTTTCCTATACGATGTCTTGCTATACTAAATCACGCTCTGCGGGTCTCTGATCACCAGAGATTTTTGGTGCAGTTCGTATGGGGTCATGTGCATTGGCTGATCCAGAGAACGAGAACTGCCCGTGGGCTGAAGACTACGGTACTTACCTTAAATCACCTTGTCGGCGTTGAACGGAAGCAACCTGGGCTGCGCACTAAGATAACCAATAATAATGATAGTTACTGGTCACGGAGAGGGAGAGGTACGTGACTCCGAGGATGCGTGGGAGGACCACTGCTCGGAGGAGCACGAGGGATTGTTTGGCTGAAGCTAACGATACTTTCACCTGCATGTCGCTCATGTGGAGATACGGTTTTGCGGGCTCATTCGACGCTCGAAGTCGACCAGCAACTTGGGGTATACAACTAGACTGAAACCGGGTGTCCAGATACAGCGAGTGGCAAGTCCTGATTTCACTTTAGGGTTGGGTTGGAGTATCAATCCACTCTACCGGGCAAGACAAGAAGACTGCCAGAGTGAATTCAACGTAGAGATCGTCATCACCCTACTTTACAAACTAGCCTGCGTGCTCGAGCTGGACCATCGCTAGAAAGACGAAGTCCGATTCATATCCGATCTATGTACCCAAGTCTAGAAAAAATCACCAGTAACTGGTAACTAAGACCCTCTCGGGTCTTCCCAGCATCATATCCTCGACGGTCTGGATCTGAATCTTGACCTGCCGTTCCGCAACAAGGACAAAGTTCACGATCGCCACGCGGTGCACCCCACACACCCACTGTCCAGTCGTACACGAAGAGTCCGCGTGTCCTCCATGACACCCCTTCTCCTCGATGTCGATCATCGTCTCGGCGATCTTCGCGGCGACCATCCCCTCACAGATCCCCTCGCGGCGCGGGTACTGCTGCAGTAAGCGGAGTGCATTGCGACGGACGGTGGGTTCCCGGCAGCGGGTGGCGATGAGGAACAATGGCTCAGCCACGGTGGTTGAGAGACAGAAGCTGGGATGCGAGGTGTCTTTTCTCGCCTGGGGGCTCGAATTCAAGTCATCTAACAGCTTCGTGGCCAGATGGAGCATTCGCTTGTACTCTTCGAAGAAGTCGTCATGGCACAGCTCGCCTTTGGTGAAATCGAGGGTCAAGAACACGTGGGCGAAGATGCGACGGACGTAGAGCAGGTCGAGGGCCCGGTCATCCGTCTCGGAAGGAGCCGCGGCGGCGGACAGAAAGCCGCTCAACCGGGCGTCCCACTGCTTGAAGCCGTCGACGCATTTCTGCTTCTTGGCGAGGTTCTCGGCAACGCGGGTGGGGTTGCTGAATTCCTTGCTCATCATGAGTCGCATCAGACTGTTGAAGTGGACTTCTAAGGAGAGATATGCGTCCAGCAGGGATCGGAATGGCTCCTTGGTGGACGACAGGATGATCCGGCTGTCCGTCCACTGGAAATCGTTCCTTTGGTTGGGGAGGTATGGGCGGGCTTGGCTGTCGAGTTGCGTGAAGGCCACCAGTAACAGATCGACATCCCGATCATGGTCTATTCGTTCTCTATTCCGGACTCCCAAGTTCCAGTGATGGAACATCTTGAGACCCGAGTTGATATGCACAAAGGCCTGCCATTGACGGCCCTGGAGACTCGCCATGCAGGTGAATAAAAGACAGGTGCTGAGCGCCACTACTTTGTCCAGACGAGTCAACGTCGGCCTCGAAAGTAGCTTGCGAAGTGATTGGATGGACTTGTTGAATTGCACCAGTGCGAAACGCATGTTCGGGGTGTCGCCTACCCGTGCGACGGTGCTCGGGGTCCGATCAGTCACAAAGTCGTGGTGTACACATGCCAGCGCAGTCATAGCATGCCAGAGGGTTGGATACTGGTGCGCTAGTTGGAGCGATTTGCCGGTCCAGAAGCCCGTGTCGAAGAAGCCAGCTAGATCGGTGGTGGTGACTGAGCGGAAGAAAGCAAAGTTCTCGATCTCGATCGTGTTGCCGGAGACCTGGTCCCAGGCCGATGGCATCTGCACCACGTGTGGTGGCTTGATCATCGGCTTGGGAGCAAGATCGTCGTAGCCATCGCAGTGTCTTCCGGTCGACGTACATCTTGCGCAGCTACCATTGTTTTTGCGGTGTCAGACCGGGAGTGGAACAGCGAGATTCACTTGATCGAACCGGATATATCTTTCTCTCACCTCGGTTTCGTCTCGTCACACTTGATGCGTCGTATCCTGAGGAGGTCAGTGGACACTATCTAAGTCGACTTCACTCACTCGATCTTCCACGGGACATACCTGCATGTTATGCAACCCGATTTGACTTTCGGGGCCCACTGTTTCAGCCTTACCCTGCCGGACTTGTTTAAACGAGAAGAGCTTTCTCCCATTGCAGTAGGCGCCATCGGACTGATTCTATGGCAGTGGTAGTTGACCAGCAAACAACCACCAGGTCAATGCGGGTGAGCATAAACGAAATGTCCTCTCAGGCAGCTGGCGCCAAGCCAGGCTGTCGGAGAACAAGGAAGAAATACATCAGACATGCAGGCAGAGGCCGAGAGGCGTGTACGCATGTCGGTCTGAGCCTTTGAGGGCCGATTAAGCCACTGCGCATAGTATGATTGGAAAATACGGGACAAGGCCCTGAAGCCGAGCGATCCGCTGCATCCTAGCGGCTGGGCAATCGCTGAGAATGGAAGGAGCAGCACTCGGCTTTTCAGTGATTTCAGTGATTTCGGTGATTTCAGTGATAAGATCCGCTGTCAGAGAAGAGCGCCTGGTCACGTGCCATCTGGATGTAGTCCTTCTCACATGCCATTCCATACCCTCTGCATACATAGTAGATTTAGACAATCTCCCTCCTCTAGCATCCTGAAAGACGTCACCATCAGCCTCATGCGACGTCAATTCTCACATATCTCCTATGCCCTAAATGAATACACCATCCTCCCTGGCTACCATACCTCGAAGCCTAAAAATCTTGAACCCAGTAGCCTCGTCCAACTCCGCAGACACAAAAAGCCTTCGGGCACAAGCTTCCCTGGTCTGCTGCACTGTGTACACCAATATGATCATAGACAATCCAAACTTCCCTCTAATCCAACGGAAAAATACAACGCCCAAACCACCAGACCCCAATTAACACCAGCATACCCACCAGCAAGATCTACCCACCAACTGACCCAATTCAGAAAAAAACCAAGGCACCGTACTTTGTCACTCCACGAGTCCAGGCAGACTCACGCCCAACCCGTGATTCCACGAGTGACTCCGCCCACGATCCCCAAACCAGGTACCTCCGAGCACCCTACCTACCCTAGTGGTCGCCACTACTGCAACTCTAAGATCCTTCCTGGGGGCTGAGACAAAAACCAAATCAATGGAACGAAATTTATGCCCCCCCCCCCCCCCCCAAAAAAACAAAAGAAAAAAAAACAAAAGAAAAAAAAACAAAAGAAAAAAAAAAAGGGGGGAGAAATAAAAGAAAATCATAGTCCCAGGAACCGGGATGACGCTCGGACGGGAGGCGATCTAGACGAGATCATGGCTGTCAGATTCCCTTTCCCCCACACCACCACCACCACCACCACCACCACCACCACCACCACCACCAATCCATCGGGATTCACTCGATGCTTGCGTGGCGCTTCCTTCCTTGCTGGAAGGGCGTCAATCAGGAGTCACGGGGCTGCGGGGATATGACCAGATCGGAAACCGAGCCCCTGCGCATGGATTGTCCATACTATACTGCATGTACAGTACATAAGTCAATCAACTCGATCGCAGCAACAATGATCATTGTCCCGCGCCGGAGGCGAGCTTCTGACACTACTGTGCATGTTTCGATACAGGAACAAGATACACAGAGGGAGGGCGAGAACACAATGGCGAATATTCACACCACCACATCTATTCTATCGACGCCGTTCGATCAACCAACCATCTTCCCTCGATCGGAAGGGATCGTACTGTGCAAAAGTACGGGAATCGTTGGGGCAAAAGTTGGCCATGGTAAGAAAGGGGAAAGTGAACGCCAGACTTTGGATCGGTTCTTTTGGCTGGTTTGGGGTTGCGAATGGCTTTCGATACTTGACTTGCTGGGTCATACTGGGTGGAGATATACATACGCTGATCTGATGGTCGGTGATACGGGCTGCACAAGCGAGCCGCCCAGCCACAATCGCATTATAGTCATGAATCTACATACTTGTCTTATTCCGATTAGGTTGTTTGTCTGTCGGGGTGAAACCCTCTGCATATTGTCTCAGGAGCTTGCTTAAAGAAGTGAAGGGTTCAGCTACAGCTTTCCGGGGTCAACTGGCTACCGAGATGGAGAACACATAAAATAGGTATGAGGTGAGACTATGTGGAAATATGTACTGTATAATAATGTATGAGAGGATAATATCTATAGCTGCATCCTCGAATGCACCTGGTCCCCCTTTCGTTCATCCTATATTTGAAACATTGACTTCATAAGAGAAAAGTGACCCGTGCTGCGTGACTGTGGTATCTCAGCCCTGAACGCCAGAACAACGAAAAAAGTGGATTGGCAATCGCGTGTTATGTAAACCAGCGCTTTTTCTTACCCCTCCGTCAGCCTAGACACAGAATGGACCACTGTCAATAGTCGAATTCAATCGGTCTTGGTACCTGACAAGGAAGCATGAGGATATTATTTCCGAGAAATCAATGTGGGCTGCAGCCTCTGAGAGTGAGCCAGCGGGGCTCGGTCAACCACCAACCTCGAAGGAATAGGGATCAGATTGGTGGTCTTACCCGGGGACCAGATTTTATGGAGCCCGACCGCAAGTCGAAAGTAAAGGGTGAAGGACATGAGAGCCGGGCAGTAGGACAGTAAGACTGTCAATCAATAGTTCGTCGCCCCGGCGTCGCTCCGGCAGGAACTAACCAATTTAGTCCCTGTTATAGAGGGGCCTTCTCCAAAAGTACGCGGGCCCTAAGTCGAGCTCGGTCTTAGGTGTCAGGTCAATCAATGTCGCTACTCGCTAGTGGATGCCCGCGACATTCAGGAGATTTGAGCATCCTGGTGGATCACCGTGAGGCTACAGTCACTGCGTGCGAACGGAAAAAGTCGAGCCGGTCTTCCACAATATCGAGACATTGGCCTAGGACTGCCGCATCGATCATTAATTTAACCTCTTGTCTCCGATTGATGCTGCGATTGGCAAACACTCACCAGAGAGAATCTCTTCCTCCCAGATCCCAAGCTGATAATCGACTAGTCCATGCTGTTCCATTCGATCGCATAGCTGGATCAGCTCTTTACCCAGGCTGTCCATGGCTTCATTGCTGAGCAGAGTTGTCTGTGGTGGCTGACGTCCTGTCTGGAACAGTTCTTCCGCCATGTCTTTTTGTTTTTGACAGAGCGCAAGCCAGCAGATGTTGAAGTCGTTCCAGAGTTGTAGTCGATCGGCGTAGAATGTCTGCTCATCTCGGAGGACCCCTATACATGTATGACCATCAGTTTCACAATCCGTAAGCGCACTTGCTTAGCCGCCCCGCACTACCCTACCCTCTCGCTAGGCTGATGCCAGCAGCAGACGACCATGTACCTTTGGCCTTCAATGTAAATATAATTACTTACGCAGTACATGCATGGCGTGGACAGGGCCAGGAGAGAGTAAGGTGGAGTCTGGACTGGCGAGACCCACTGGGTTGGACGCTAGAGGAAAACATACCGAGCTCCCGCGCATTAGTCACAAGCCATTCGGAGATTTCCAAGAGTGATCGACTGGCCTCCACCAATCGGCCAGCGCGCGTATTGTCAAATGCTCCTTGCACAGCGTGTTGAAATTGTTCATACACTTCCCTCACGTTGGCTGACTGGAAGTCCGTCCGTGGGATCTGCTGGAGCTGTTGTTGTGGTTGTTGCGATGGTGGTGGTTGCGGTTGTTGCGGTTGTTGTTGTTGTTGTTGCGGCGGCGGCGGGGGGGACGGTTGCTGCTGCTGCTGCTGCTGCTGCTCCAGCCGTTCGCCAGGACCGATGGAGGTCAAACCGGTCATATTGGCTTGATAAAAGTGCGTTACGCTCGAGCGTCCCATGCCCCCTGGCGGCGGCGGATTATAAGCGGAAAGCGGGACTGTCGACGGCAAGTAGGGCGGCCCTACTGCTGGAACCCCAGTGCCTGTCGGTTCATTTGGAGGGAAATATTGTGGAACACCAAACTGGCTGGACAGGGCTTCCATCGCTGCAGATTGCCGTGCCGAGTATGTTGGTGGCACCACCTCGTACGTGGCTTGGGTTGGGCCCTGTTGTCCACTGAGGTCGTATACCATCTCGGAGTCGTAGGGAGCTAAGGGCTGGTGCACTGACGGGTGCTGCTGGCGCTGTTGCTGGTCGCGCAACGTCGGGGGGTATGGTTGCAACTCGTTCCCCTGCAACGGACCGCCCTGAAAGGGACTCTGTGTGTATCCATAGTCCAGGTAGGTGGACATCCGGGGACGCCCCGTGGCGTGCGAGGATGCATCACCTCCACGTGCTGCTGATGGGGCCCCGGCCTGTCTGAACCGGTCCACTGCACCACGACGGGACATCCCGGCTCTGGTTGCAAAGCGGGCATTTACATCATGCTGCTTCATGCGCAGGATATCGCCATCCATCCCCTTACGCACTGGATCGAGGTCGAAGGACCAATGCGCTGACGGGGACAGGGGCGGGCTTGCGTAAGAGTCCAGCTTGGCGAGAGATCGACCTTTGGTTTTCTTTTTTATTCTCTTAGCTTGAAGTAGAATCGCGGCCGCTTGCAATCGCGCGCGTAATCGCTATGGTTTGCTGGGAAAGAATTGAGATTCAAGCCAACAAGATTCGCAGCGGGGAGATCCCACGGTTGCACTTCCGCACAGGGACGCTGGTACAACCAGCACACACGATCTAGATGGGACTATCCACGAATCAGTTCTGTTCAATAAGAATCAGCAAACTATTCGGAAACCACCTGCGCACCTGTGAGAGAAGACAAAGCTTCCGCCGACTGGTTGGTTGGAAGCAAAGTATGTATGCTTTAGTCACACCGCCAGACAGTGATATTATCATAAGGCTGGACTTTTATGGATGGTCGAGAGTGCAAGAGCACCCGAGAAAAAGAACGAAAGTCTTGACCGCAGTAACCACAGTGCAGGAAGGGTCCGCGTGGAAAGATGCAGGGGAAATATAACTCGAAGGAGGTAGGTGGAAGTAGAACCAATGGAGTTGAGTGGAGGGAGTTGAGGGGTCCCCTTTGTTTGCAGCCCAAAGGAAGATAGATAGATATTGGGAGTCAATCTCAGGTGCTTTGCTTTGCTTGCTTGCTTCGGATCCCAGCTACTGAAATGGAGGGGCCGTAGAGTGGGGGAGGACCAGCGGTAGAGGAAGTAGAGGACTGGGATGCACGGATTACTTATAGTACAGTTCCCAGTAGCTGAGGTGCCGGTGAATCAGCCCCATAGCAAGGTCAATCTTGATCCACCGGGACTTATCGAAAAGTCCTCTGGGGGCCGAGTGATTCAGGTCGTTCGGGTTCAGGATAGCAGCATGTTGTGAACAATGAAACGGGCGAAGCGAGCGCCTGTATCAGGTTTCTGCTTGGGCTTCTCTTGCGCCTGCGGTGGGGAGCGGAGAGGATGATCGGAGAGAACTATCCAAGAAGATTGAAAAAGCCGGAATCGGGAAGTGAAAAAGAAGAAGGGAAAAAAAAACTAAACTGAAAAAAAAAGAATGATAAAAAAAATAGGGAAAAATCAACCAAGAGAAAAAAAAAAAGGGATCCTCAAGGAAGGGAGAGGGAAGAAGAATATCGTCACCGATCCACGAAGCGCGAGTAACGAGGAAGAAAACAAATGACACTAAAAGAAAAGGAAGGAAAAGCTGGAAAATCCACTGAACGGAAGGGGGGGACGAGAATTGGCAGAGGAAGACAGAAAGAAAGAAAAAGAAATGATGAGCAGAGAGCCTATTGTCTAGTAGCATCTATCCCATCCATCAATCAATCAAGTACGCAGGCAATCATTCAATCAGTCAATCAAAATTTCACCCTTCCGGGATTGTTCAGGTTCAGATTTTACTAATTTCTTTTTTTCCTTATTTCATTTCCCTGCACTCAATTTCTTTCCCCCAGAGCCTTTGCTAGGTATTTTCTGGCTTATTATTATGACCGACTGCATGAAAGAATGAGATTTAGATTTGCGCGCAAAGAACGATCGAGCGAGTTGTTCGATTTCCTTCTCGAACCTCGCCTCAGAACTACTGACTAGAATGACGAGTGCTACCCAGAGTCACGTATAGATTATTGTTGGGAGCCCAATTTACTCTCCACGATGAACATCGATCGAGCCCCCTTGAAACCCTCAGCCACTTCCTCGCTCCACCAGGAAGCCCAAACCCATGTCAGCGGTACACACTAGATACAGTTTCATACAATGGTCTCGGTAGATGCACTACTGGGGGGGGGGGCTGACTACCAGCTGATCATCAGTCATTTCTTCTGTCGACCAATCCGTCGGGACTCTGGGTAGTCCAAGGCGTGCACTGCAGCCTTTCAGAACCATGAAGGCGGCTGACAGAGGCAAGCAGAGCGGATATGATGACGCCCAAGAGGGGTAGCTGATTCCGATCCATCAGATTTTATGACATGGGAACAGGGAGGAACAATAATGGAGCCGATTAAAAAAAGGGCCAGGCGCCGTGTGATTCGTGGACTCCCTGCCAGCCCAAAGGGATCGTGACGGGGATAATTCAGACACGAGGCGGGGCTATTCGGGACTTCTGAGTGGGAAATAATAACAAATGATCCAAAAGGGAACGAAAGAAAAAAAAAAAGTACTTTGTCCGGTACTAACAATGCCTAGAAATTTCCTCGATCTTGCAGGTGCAGCAGCAGCAGCAGCAGCAGCAGCCATCATGGCACTTTCTCCAAGAATCCGATAAGGTTAATCGCCCGGATCCAGACACCCAGAGTCGCTAGCAGGCCCAATGAAGACTGTCGCTGGGACTAGTCTAATCACTAGAATTGTTTTTAGCTGAGCCCCATCCATCAATCATTCCAAATTGTTGCACTTCTGACTCTTTTCCCGCTGCCCTGAGCCGACTTCCCCGAGGGCCTTAGAGTTAAGCCCTCCCGAAACGCTATTTCGGTGATCGTCCTGGGTCCATGCACCACACCATTCCAGGAACCATCCACCAGGCTCCAATGTCCGTCCGTGACTCCGTGAGGCGGTGGTTGGAGTGTCAAAGAGCCAACCAAGGTTGTGGTAAATCCCGATCGAACGGAAGGAGTAGATACCGAAGGAATAAGGCGAGACACGCCGGGCCACATTGAATGAAGAATGAGTGAGGCAAGAGATCCGGGGTCCGATCTCATGAAAATCACTTGGGATGGACCGTCAGTCAGACTTACATAGTACAAGGAAAGGTATAGTGTACGAGAACCACGGGAAGAACCGCTTTCTGGGACGCAAGGATACCGGGGAGCTGGGAGGTGGATCGGCTGCTGCCCGGGTTGACCACAGAGGGTCGAAGGATCGAGCTGATGGCCGGAGGATGATCCCAAATGAACAGAGAGGTGAGGACCATGCGCAACAGGCGATCTGATCCAACCCAAGATCTTGGGTCATTGGGAATTTTCGAGGTGTCAGAGTTGGTTTGTAATGTCTGCAACAATCCATGACGACTTAGATTAGCCGCAACTCCCAAGTTTGACGACTGAGACTACCAATCACCAAGAAGTCCTAAATTGATGGGGTCATTAATGTATCTAGTAGTACTACTGTACTGTACCTGCCCTAACTACTGGGTAGGTTTATGTACCGTACCGAATTGTAAGTTAGTAGTTACTGTAGTAGTTAAGTTAGCGTACGGAGTACGGCACTTGTAGTGCTTGGCTAAGCCGCCGAGTCGCACACCTTCCAGCGTGCTGGAAAGCTGAGGTTGTGCACTAAAGAAGCAGCCAATGGAGGTGATGCTTATTGGTAGCCAGGGGGATCGGCATCGCGCCCATCGAGACAACTTGAAGCTAAAGCAGCCTTCTCGGAGGTGCTCGTAGGTGGAGCCCGCTCGGTCCTTTCTTGCTTTTTTCTTCTTGCTCGTTCTTTCTTGCTTGCTTGCTTTCTTTCTTTCTTGTCTTCGCTCAATTCATTCCTTCGGAGTTGCATCGTTTGCACTCCGGGGACTTATCATCCGAAGGACGGAGTCTCGTCAGGGGTTGTCCTCGATGAATTCGATGGGTTCAATGGGTAAGGTACGGGGTAACTATATTCGTAGTAATATGACGTGACGATCACCTAATGAGAGACGGCTTTTATTAGGGCTAGACAGAGAGTACCAAATTCGGGGCCGGAAGAAACAGTCCGCGATGACGAAATTCCAAATTGTCGAGATGAGGGAGGGATTGGATGATCCCCGGGTATGCGTATGTGAGAGAGGGGAAGAGGCAGAAGGTTGAGAGAAGAGAAAAGATGGAGAAGTGAGGCGGAGAAAGCCTCACCCCTCCTTCTTCCTCGTCACGTTCGATTAACAAAAGTGACAGACAGATAGACAGACAGACAGGCCTCGTGCCGGCCCAGACAGCCGGTGCTTGTGCCGATTGTGGATCTGAGCGTCCTGTCATTCAGCATGCTGCATGCTGCATTCAGAGGAGCACCTCTAGATGTACCAAGTACAGTACAATATAGTACTGTACTTCCTGAGGACTTCCTGAGGACTTGTCAAGAAGGGACAAGGAGAAGATACCTCTGAAGTACCCCTGAAGTACCCCTGAAGTACCTACAGAGTAAGTATTCTTGAAGAGAACCAGCTGAAGGCAACCTCCTTCCCCTTTCCAGTCAGCCTACAAACACCACCCACTACAAACTCACTGCCGCCATCTACTCCTCTACTCCATCCTATCCTTTCTCTTCACCTACATCAGTTAATCGTGATTCTCTCTTCCCATCTCCACCTCATTTGACCCCATTGATTTGCACTGCGCCGTGTTCATACTCACTACCCTTTCCTACCTGTCAATTTTCTCTCTTCACCATCTCCAATTGGCCTGATGAGAGCCTTGGCAGGCTCTTCGGCCACACCAGGATGACCACTCTGTCTCTCATCTAGCCTCCAATAGTTGCCATTCCGAGCCGTGCGATGACAGTGGTCGGGGCGACGTGGGTGTCAGAGCAGGCAAGAATGTTCTGATTTGGCTGTCGAGGCCTTTACCTGCAGCAGGTGGGCGGGGATTCCCAATGGAGCCGATGCCTGATGACGGTTCGCATCAGATGTGTTGTCTCCAAATCTTGTCTCATTGTCTTTGGCCACTACGAGTCTCGTGGACGCATCGCATGAATCAAGTGGGTGAGGTGAGTATCGCGTTGTTCGGCGAACGCAGGTCGGTATGATGTTGAAGCTATCGGAGAAGAACCATCCACTGCATCCAGGAACCTGTTCTTTTCAAAAGTCACCGACTGATCGCCGACTGATCGATTTCTATTCGGCAAGGAATACTGCACCGTCCGTTCGAGTTCATGGTGCCACAGAACCCTGGCTGACGTCAGGCCGAATGGGATGGTCGAAACGCAATAAATACACTTGCGAAGCACGATGAGAGACGTGGCTGTTTTGCAACTTGCCGGTTGTCTCAGAACAATTTACTGTCTCACTTCCTAGACCACAGTATGCTTAGTTGTGAATCGGTTGCTTCTTCAGCTAAGGATTTGACTTCTCCGAACTCTGTGTCTGGCGATCTTAGCCTACGGCCGAATGCAATCTTCCTGTTAGGGGATTCGATTCGATTTGGCGCAGAGTGGGACAAACACTTGATCGCCGGCAGTGATCTTAGTCAATGGCGCATGTCTGCCTGATCCAATCCCAAGCTCGTCTTTCTGCTCCTGTAACACCGAGGTTTGTACCAAATTCGGTCTATTGCTTTTACGCCAATAGTTACATGCCGGTCGCCGAAGACATGCCGTGTCGTGTCCTGAAACGACTTCCGTGACACCTGGTGGGTATGCTTGCAATACAGGATATACTTTCGTTGAGAAAAAATCACAAGGCCAAATCGAATAATACAGCAAGGAAGTAGAAGTACAAAGAGAAGATCCAGGCCCCCCACGCGGGAAGAGACCGATCTCGACCACGCTTTCATCTCTTGACCCAGGTGGGCATCTTGCGCGCCTTGACGTGGCCGGGCTTCTTTCTCTCCACACGACGGGCGTCGACCGTGATGACACCGGCTGCAAGATCAATTGGTCAGTAAAGAATGGTTGTGGTAGGCGGCAGGGATACGTACCCTTGCGGAGCACAGGCTTCAGAGCGGGTTCGTGAACCAGCAGCGCTCGTGCAACAGCCAGCGTGATGGCTTCTGCCTGCCCAGTAGTTCCTCCGCCCTGGACTTGAGCCCACACATTATACTTGTCTAGTCGCGATGTACTTCGGAGGGCCCAGGTGGCACTCTCGCGATCATGTACTCGAGGGAAGGCCTCGACCAATGTCTTTCCATTCACTCTCACCTCGCCATCACCCTCAACCAGATAAGCCACTGCCGAGGAAGACTTGCGCTTGCCCCGGCCGCGAGCACGACCCATCTCATCCACCGTAGCCGGCGCAGGCTTGTTCGCATACGGATTACCCGGACGAACAAACTGCTTTATCGTCTCCCCAACATTTTCCGGCATGAGCTTGGGATCGATTCGGTTCAGACGCTGCAGGATTTTGATCAGGCCCTTGTACTTCTTGGTCGGCACTTGCTCCCCGACAAAATCACGAAGCTGCGGTAGTTTGAGCCACGCCATCCGAGGCGCCTGGCTGGTCTCCACGGTTGGCAGATCGGCGTTTGCGGCGAGAATGTCTTCCAGAACCAACAAGTGGTCGATAAACTTGGGGTTGCCGGAGAAGTAGGACGGAGACGCGGGCACAAGCCGAGCAGGTCTGAAGCGGGGATCGTTGAAGTCTATAGGAGGAGCGGCCGTGTGGGATGTTAGCAATTCTTCAGTCGCGTATGTTCGCTTGCCACTGAAGTTCTTGGAGAGTCGGGTCGTCGTCGAGGTCGACCACATGGGCGATCTGGAGATCACGGACTGCTGGAGAACAGGCCGGAGAGGAGCTGCTTGACGGATGGAGTGCATGGCCTGCACGAGACCATTGGGATTCTGCCAGGCCATTATGCGGGCGAGAACGGGTGACGGAGGCCTGGAGGAAAAAGAGGTGTTCGACGCCTGCCGGGAGATAGATTCTCGGAGAGCGACACACGGAGCGGGCGGAAACAATCGCTTTTGGCGGTGTTGGGGCCATTTCCTGAGGTTTTTCCAGATTGGAGGTCACGTGGACGCAGGAACCATTCCTCCGGTCCCGATGCTCTTTGATTCGCACAAATGTCACCATCCATTTTCTTCTTCCCCTCATTCTTTTTTTCCTCCTCTTCCCCCCTCTCTCTCCTTTTCTCTTTCTCATCCCACACATCCTTCACAATGGCCTTCGGAAAGCTCTACGGTTCTCTTGTATGTTCCCTCCAGCATCTTTCCTTTCCACATTGTTTCAGGCGCAACTCGCTAACACGATGATAAATAGGAGAACGCTCGCACTATCGCCGTCCTCGTTGCCGCTAAGGCTAACGACGTCGAGCTGGAGCTTGTCAAGACCGAGCCTAACTCTGCTGCTGCTTTCAACCAGTCTGATGAGTACCGTCGCATCCAGCCCCTCGGCAAGATCCCCGCTTTCGAGGGTGCCAACGGTTACACTCTTTCCGAGGTCATTGCCATTGCTGTCTATGGTACGTTTTGACGACCTTTTTTTTTTGTTTCTATGTGCACGCTCTTCACCCCCCTTTTCGATATGATGAGATTCATATATTAGTTATCCCTGTCAGAACGGTAAAAAAACAAACTGTGTTGATAACGTTTAACTCTGATCATTTGTTACCCCTCTATGGGTTGAATGTCTATTTGTCATTTCACTTTTCTTGAAGCGTTTCAAGCTAACCTGCTTCAAGTGACTTCCCAGAACGAGAAGACCACCCTCTTGGGTAAGACCAAGCAGGACTATGCTTCCATCCTCCGTTGGTTGTCCTTCGCCAACGCTGAGCTTATGCCCCGCTTCGCTGGCTGGTTCCGCCCCCTTCTCGGCCTCGACCCCTACAACAAGAAGAACGTCGAGGATGCTTCCAAGCTCGCTCTGAAGAACGCTGGCGTTCTCAACACTTACCTCACTGCTAACACCTACCTGGTTGGTGAGCGTATCTCCCTGGCTGATTTCTTCGTCGCCGCTCTCTGCACCCGTCTCTTCTCCACCGTCTTGGACAAGAAGTTCCGTGACGAGCACGTTCCCTTCGTCCGTTGGTACAACACCATCATCAGCCAGCCCGCCTTCAAGGCTGTTGTTGAGAACCCCGTCTTCGTCGAGGAGGCCATCAAGTACACTCCCCCCAAGAAGGAGGAGAAGCCCAAGGCTGCTCCTGCCCCCGCTGCCGCTGCTCCCGCTGAGGAGAAGCCCGCTGAGGAGAAGAAGGCCAAGCACCCTCTCGAGGCTCTTGGTCGCCCCGAGTTCGTCCTTGACGAGCTGAAGCGCACCTACTCCAACGAGGACACCCGTCCCGTTGCTCTGCCTTGGTTCTGGGCTAACTACAAGCCCGAGGAGTTCTCTCTGTGGTCCGTCAACTACAAGTACGACAGCGAGCTCAAGCTTACCTTCATGGCCAACAACCTGATTGGTGGTTTCCACAACCGTCTTGAGGCTTCCCGCAAGTACCTCTTCGGTTCCCAGCAGGTCTACGGTGCTAACTACGACTGCGTCATCCGCGGTGTCTTCCTTGTCCGTGGCCAGGACTTCAAGCCCGCTTTCGAGGTCGCCCCCGACTGGGAGAGCTACGACTTCGTCAAGCTCGACCACACCAACGAGGCTGACCGCAAGCTCGTTGATGACATGTGGGCCTGGGATGTCCCCGTCGTCGTCAACGGCAAGGAGTACCCTTGCGTTGACGGCCACGTCTTCAAATAAGCTAGTGCACCCACTTCGGGTTGTCGTAGCTGTGCCCTAGTGCCGACTCATTGATGATGATGATATCCCCTTTTCCTTTATTCTCCTGGCAATGAGTGAGCCTTGTAGATGAACACAAAACATAATATTCCCATGCTCCATCCTCCTTCGCATCCGCTCAAGGTATCTGGCCGAAAGTGTGAGGCCCGGACACCAAGTCTGCCGTCCCTCTGTGACCCACTTTTTCCCGGCGCCCTAAACCTCCCAACTGTTTCTCCGACATTCCCCCTGATGGTATTGGTTGTGTTTCAATCTTCACTCACCTCATAAAAGCTTTTTTACCCACTTTGTCATGCGTCATACCATGCTCATGATCTTCACATGAATGATAGCAGTACAGTAGTCTGATAAGACTCAAAACAATGAACTTCAGCTCTGTTGTTCTTTTGCATGTTCTTTTCCATCTGTCAAGATGCTATCGTATCAAACGATGCAGACTAGGTCTCTCCATTGGGTGGGACTTCCCTTCTCTCCCATGAGCAGTTCACCAGTTGGCGCACCAGTCGCGCAGGGAAGGGGCATACTCTTTCTATTGACCAGTGCTCCCGGCCACATCTGACTGACTTTTGTTCTTTCGCCGCCGTCGGACGAGTGTACAAAAAAAAATGTATAAACTCCATCGACAGAAAAAGAAACCACACTAATGATCGGTAATTACGCGCTCTACCCGAGGAAGTGGTCGAATATATAGGTACTAGACTAGATCATCCGGAAGAAAATCCACTGAGTATGCATCTGCAAGCCAGGCAGATGAGATGAAGATCAATTGGGTTCCCATGCACTTCTCTATGTAGTTATCAAGCATAGTTTACATCAAACTGGTGAAACAAAGTTAGCAGACAAATGGCACACACACATACACTCCAGGACACCGCGCTATATCTTTTCTCAAATACACATACAGATAGATGACAGGACAAGAGCGGAAACGGCCATTATATACCATCTGCTTTTAATGAAAGGATGAGCCGTGCAAACAACACTCCGCCTGCCTTCCGAGGACAGGAAAGCAATTCATTTAATCGTGACGATCGAGCGATGCCTCTAGTTTATCGAGAAGATCGTTTTGAGTCTCGGACCGGACGGATGGATCCGGAGAGAGGGAGTGGTGCACCGAGTCGAGGGATGTGGCGGGGGACGGGGAGCGAACCGGAGCTGGGGCTATTGGAGCTTGGACTGGGGCTTGGGCTGTGAAGAAAGTCGAGATGGCCGCCGCAGTAGCTCGAGCGGCTTTCTTCTCCTGCTTGCGGGCTCGGCGACGCTCGGCGCGGGTTTCTGCAACCTCGTCGCGGGTCGCCCCGGGTGCCAGGGGTATGGGAGTCTGTGGCAGGGGGCCTCGCGGGAGGGTGTCCAAGATATCGAGGATGCACGTCTTCCCGGTCTCCTCCAGGGTCGTGCTCCAGAGGTGCAGCGCCTGGCTGACATCGTCATACTTGGACAGTTCCTCCAGTAGCTGCAGCACTTTGGTGAGGGTTTGGTTGTCGCCGGGACCCCGGTCGCCCGTGAATTCGGGGATTTCCAGGATGTTGTACGGCTCCGAGATGGCTTTGAGCTTGCTGTCGTCGATGAGAATAGTGTTTGTTTGATCCCACGCCTGTGTCTTCGTCGGTTGCCATTTCTTCTCGCGGAACCTGGGATATGACGCCTGGATCGACGGATCGTGCCAGACTGTATTCAAAGTCTTGTAGACCTGGGTTTTGGATCGGTACTGCGAACCCGTGAGCGGGAACTTGTCGCGGCCCCATTCGGCGACGAGCTCTTTTCGGGTCTTGCCCGGGAAGATTCTGTGGCAGAGGTTTTGGACCGTGAAGGGTTGCGAGCTCGACCAGACCATGACCTTGTACTTTCCTAGAAGAATCTGGCGGAAACCCTTCAAGCCGGCGCGTTCTACGAAAGAGGGTGGAAACTTGCGATGTTTGCGGTGGACAAGCGTGCCATTCAAGTCAAGGATGACGAGGAGGGGTTTCGAAGAACAGTTTCGCTTCGGTGGAAGAGATGATTGCTGGAGATATTCTGCCGTGGGAGATGGAGGTTCTAGTGGCTCGCAAGATGGGGATCGACGTTTATTCGGCAGTTGCGGCTGCTCCTGGCTAGGGGCTGATTCCGGTGTGAAAGGTGTACGAAAGGCGAAGGGGTCGAGCATTGGCATCGCTAATAATGGGTTCGGCAATCCCATGTTCATCAGGGGGGGAGGCGGCATGGGTAGTAGCTGGCTCGTAAACTTTGTGAAATCATTCCACGATTCCGGGATCCCAAATGAAGGGTATGAGGAAGGATTGAACATGGGTGTGAACTGTTGCTGCGGCTGAAAAGACGTGTTTTGTGGCAAGAGTGGTCGTTGGTCTGGCATATTTTGTGTGAAGAAATTCTGTGCGTTCGGTACATTCGGCATCAGAAACGGCGGTGGAGGGATTGCACTGCCATTTGCATTCATGACACCTGGTGCAGGTGGAAAAGCGAAAGGCGGATTCGTGCTATTGACATTGCCCATGGAACCTGCATGGCTTGTCGCGGCCTGTCCCTGAGGTGACTGCAATGTCGCAGCCCCATGAGGTGGCGCGATCGCTCCATGGCGTTGCTTTGGTCGTCTATCGGCTGGTCTATTGTTTCTTCGTGGGCCGTTTCTTCGTGGTCGATCTTGCGATGTGTTACCTGGTGTTTGCGTGCCGGGTTGGTCTGCATGTGTAGTCTTCGAGCTCCAACGACCATGGTAGGGTCTCCAGGGATCCGGGTTGTTGGGATTGCCATTGTTGTTGGGCTTGTTAGGACCACCCCTACCAGTCCCGTTAGAGCGGCGCTCGAAGCCACCTTCAGTCCCCATTTCTGAGCGCAATGTGCTATCACGAGCCTGATACGATGGATATGAACGATGATAGGATCTCGGGTGATATGATAGCCGGACTCGAGAAGTGAGAATGAGATTGGGTTGCGAAGTCTGTACGACGCCGTCAGCGAGAGAAGTGAAACGGATAATGTCTGTCAGGCCATGCATACACAAACGGCCCCGCTTCGAAACATTCGATCGAGCTTGGCGTATTCAGAGAGAGCTGGCCTTGGGGCTAGCATGGAGATGTTTGTAAATGACTTGCATGGGCACAGTAGCGACTGCAGTGAAAGCAAATATGGCCAAGGAGAGCGAGCGAGCGAGCGAGCGAAGTGCAGAGTGGCCAGCGATGGGCGGAGGAGCGATCAATCGCAATGCGGACGGACCAGGGGAAAAATCGCGATCAATTTCCCCACACGCCCAATCAACGACGAGCCGCCTCGGCGACCGCCCCTGATTTCGGCAGAATTGGGGCCATTTTTTTTTTCCTGCTCCGCATCGCATCTCACCGCCATACGCCATACGGCAAAAATTGGATTTTCTTATCACCAATACTCATTTCTTGATTCATCGCACAAACCAAAATGGCCATATCAGATCTTCTCAATCGCCGGGTGCGGGCGCTCCCCGAGGAAGACGAAGGGGTTTACTCAGATGGTTCCGGTTCCGAGGAGGCTAGTGACCTTGCGCCATCGGACCACTCGGACTCCGATAATGCCAGCGACGGTTCTCTCAATAAGGACGATGTCGACAATGATGCTCTGGTTGGTATTCTCAACGCTGTATCATGCAAGCCCAATAGAGAGCTGACTCATGACGCAGTCAGACGAAGTTTCCGATGCTGCAGATGATGACGGTTCAGACGATGGCGAGAGCGACGATGATGCACCCGAGGATGACGTCCAGGCCTCTATTGGTAACATTTCATTTGGCGCGCTAGCCAAAGCGCAAGCATCCCTAGGTCCGAAAGCGAAACGTGCCGCAAAGGCCGCCCGGAGTACAGATGAAGCCAACGCAGCTCCGTCGCCCCTCGACGATATTCGAGCGCAGATCCGCGAAGCCCGGGAGCAGAAACGGCAAGCATTACCTAAGTCGAAAGATTCGGAGAAGCCTTCTCGCTCTTCCAAACACGCGCCTATGGTGCAGTCTTCCAAGTACGCCGTTTCTCGCAAGCGCACGGTCGTCGAGCCCCCGAGCATACCCAAATCCCGAGATCCACGCTTTGACCCGACGGTGACCAGCCAGGGTGGTCGGGGCAATACTCAGGGTGTCAAGGACGCCTATGCCTTCCTCGACGAATACCGTGCAGATGAGCTCAAGGACCTGAAGGCACAGTACGCCAAGACGAAGAATCCTGCACAGAAGGAAGCCTTGAAGCGAGAGATTCGATCAACCCAGGATCGACTCCGCGCAATGGAGAACAGAAAGCGAGAGAGGGATATTTTGGCCGACCACAAGAAGAAGGAGAAGCAGCTCATCCGCGAAGGAAAGAAGAGCACCCCGTACTACATGAAGAAGTCGGAGCTTAAGAAGCAGGTTCTGCTTCAGAAGTACGAGAATATGAACTCCAAAGACCGCACAAAGGCACTTGAAAGGAGACGGAAGAAGACCGCAGCGAAAGAAAGGAAAGAAATGCCTATGGAGCGTCGAGCTTTGGCCGACGACGATGCACCCAGAGACCACGGAGGGGGTTTCAAGCGTCGCCGGCTTGCTTAATGTGAATTGCGTCTTTTGCTATCGCTCATAGAGGACCTCATTTGTGTACATAATTATGCAGACCACATACCAGTATACCCATCATGGTATTACCTATCATTATCCAGAATTACCGTGTTTCGCCGGCTTCAATGTTTTCGGCCCAGCATAGCAACCAAAGTATTATCGTGAGTATCGGGGTAAGAATAAGAATGAGAGAAGAGTGAAATGTCCAATAAGACTTGGTGAAGAAGAAAACGAACAGAGCATTGGTATCGCAAATATGAACATCGAGTAGAGGAAAGAGCAATCATAGACACAACACGGATCACCAAAAGATGAAGTCCCTAACGATATAGACATGGTTCTGAGACCAACACAACCTGCCAATAAACGCCTCATAGCCAGTGAATCCCACAAGCTTAGATGTAGGTGATGAAATGAGTGCATGCAGAACGGAATCGTGAATGAGATAGAGCAGAAACTTTGACAATGATGACAACTTGAAATGCTGTCTGCGGTGTGGTATAGGATGCAGCGAAGAAGATAACTCAAGATGCTGGAAGTAATCCAGTTCTCCTTCCGGTCTAGGAGCAACTGATCATGCATGTTCATAGAAATGGTCATAGTATGCATATTCATCATGCCGAGAACGCAGAGTTCTCAAAACATGTTCCCACACGTGACTGAGGACAGATCCCCACCTGGGTGTAAGGCTTCCGCCGGAGGTGTAGCCGAACTGCCCGGCCAACAAGTACGTGCTATGTTATGTGGCTCATAAAGGCCGGTGGCCCTGGCGACTGGGCGAAGCCACCCTTCAGGTGATAGGATGCAGAGACGACGCACTAGTCTTTCAAGAATGGAATAGATCCCATGCTCGGGCGCAAAGACTGAGAAACTCTTCCTTCTTCTTTCTCTGGGTTTCGGGCGAGTCTCTACCGGCACCAAATGGACCACGGCTGGTACTTGCGCCAGAAGCCAGAGCTGGGTTCGGGCGATAGAGTTGCTCGGGACCATGGCCGAGTGGAGGACTGCCATGCTCATGCTCGTACTCATTTCGAGAGCGGCGACGGGCAGATCTTTCCAAATGATACAGAGCTGGCTGCGCTTGCACATTTGTCGCCGGCGTAATCTCCGGGTGAGGTGCGCCAGATTTGGGGGGACCATTAGCAATCCGCGGAGACGGTGGAGTTGGCGGTTGGTGGCCGCCGTAGTGCACAATGCGAGGCAGAAGCTCTTCCCGACCACCCGACATCTCCTGGACAGCTTCTTCGGCAGAGCGATACTCTCTTGGCCGCTTGGGGATTTGAGCGGATTCACGGGACATCCTGGGAGACGGGATGGGCGGTAAGTTGTTTGACTGGGATGAGCTGGCACCGGATGCGCCGGGGTAGAAAGGTCCCCTGTTGATTTCCCTTTCGCGGCCGCCTAGAGCGTCCGATCCAAACACATCCGAGAGTGGTGGAAGGCGGTTGTTCGTTTGGGTGGCAGGAACATGGTGAATATGAGACGTGGACCCCAGAGTAGGACTCTGGTTGACGATATGGCGGGTCAATGGCTGTGGCTCATGGCGGCCTGTAAATGTCTGGTTCAGTGGTGCGGATTGGATCACACGCTCATTTGCGAATTGAGCTGCCGATGGAGGTACGATGGACAATCCCGGTGGTCTCCGCTTCGAGGCAGCTGTCTTGGGCAAACCAAACGAGTCCGATGGTTTGATTCCCTCTGGCCCATCATCCTTGGCCGATTTCTGTAGACGCGATTCGATGATGGATCTCTGCTGATCACGGACTGACAAACTCCGTTGGAGTTGCTCCCTCATGACTGGGTCGTGGGTTTGGAAGCCCGGCGACAAGCACGCGATTCCGACGTTCTGCATATTGAGGCCATCTCGGGCAGTCATCGGACCGCCTGGAGCCCGGGCAGACAACCCTCCCGAGGTAGGGAGGCTAGTGGAGAGATCCAATCGTCGGGGACGAGGTCGAGTATGGGACTGCATTGCGGGCGACGAGGGTGGCTCCTTCTTAACTATGACTTTCGAAGAGTTTATTCCGTTTTGCGACCTAGCTGATTATTAGCACACTCGGGCGACATACGCACTTGACGTCAAATACTCACGATGGGGAGGTCGGCTTCCTTCCTGCGGGTGATGTTTGAGTCAACGAGCCATCCCGTGACGGTCCAGACAACCGAGGCGGCGTAGTGCTGTTCTGATTATTCGAAGTCGCGGGTGCCAGTGTTGGGCAATTCTTCGGACTCAAGTCACGGGTCATGCGCGGCGAGGTGAGCGGAGCAGCCTGGACTGGCGCAACCGCGGTGGACATACTGATGAAGAAAGGTGACCGGGCGAAATGAGACGCAGAAGGTCGAAGCAAGTGCGACTCCTTGGCAAAGCTGTCGACAGCAGAAATAGCTTTCACGCCGATCCAATCTCGAACTGAACAGATACCCTCTCGGGTGCTGTCTCACACAGCCACTGTGTATATATACGGTTTGAAGCCTGTGCCACGCTAGGTCTCACAGCTTAACTGGCCGGAGATTCAAATTATTTTTATGATAGGTATTGTTGTGTGGTATCAAATTGAGGAACGATGTTGAGCAAAGGGGAGCGCGCGGTCAGCGAGCTCGGGGAGCGTCGGCGGCTAATCGGGTGGACGATTCGTAGGGTGATGGAAAGCGTGCGTGGCGTGGTGTAGCGTAGCGTAGTGGAGGGACGAGGAGGTACTTTGGTCGGTAAATAAGCTCCGGAGGAAGAGGAAAGAGAAGAACGGACGGGTCCAGCCCAAACAAGGAACGACCAGCACAGAGGAGGGAGGACGAAGAGGGAGAATGGATTAGAGATGAAGGGAAGGAGGAGGTAGGGAAGAGGAGAAGAGAAGAAAGCCGGCGGCGGCGGCGGCCGATGTGGCACCCTGACCCAAATTGCGCTCAAACAGAAAGATGAGTGAGGGTGGTTAAGGTAGTAGGGTAGGGAGGTAGGTAGATAGAATAGGCAAGTAGGTAGATAGTGGTAGGTGGTGGGAGAGAGAAGTAGGAGAATGGATAGATTGGAGTGGTCAAAGAGTTATTGGGAGAGGCGGTTAACTAAAGCTGGCTGGGCTGGCGGCAGTGTGACAACGGTTAGAGGTCGGTCAGAGAATCCCATCCGGTCTGGCCCCCAATGTGAGAACTGTTGGCTCGAATCAATGGAGATGGATATGATATCGGTGAACTTGGCCCGCAAAAGACAGAACAATGCAAGTCAACCAGATCTATCTGCCTGCAACAAAGGATTGGGTCAAATGAGAAGAAAAGGGAAAGAAGACGAAGAGAGGAAGAGGAAGGAGGAGGAGAAGAAGAAGAAGAAGAAGAAGAAGAAGAAGAAGGAAGAAGAATTCAAAAATGAAAGACAACAGAAAGCAGGCCGAGAAATTATTGTATGTAGTTATGGAGTGGCACTAATTAATAAGGATGTATGTTTGACTTTTGGGGGGTGGAGGAGGAGGAGGGAGGGAGAGGGAGGGGGGAAAGAGGAGTGAGTGAGTGGAGGGGAGAAAAGAAAACAGGGCCGAGTCAATCTCGATGAGACGGTGGCATAAAGAACTGGAAACTACACTACAGAAGACCGTACTCAAAAAAGGTACATAGTACAATTCATCACCCCGTCCTCATCAATCAGAGCTTGCATCTGGATCCAATCTAAAGAAGAAATCTCAATTAAATTGAACAAAACTTCCTAGATGAATCTGACGAAGGGTCAAAAAAGGGAAAAAGAAAAAAAAAAGAAAAAAAAAAAGTCAAAGATAGGCTAGAGTATAAAGGGAATAATCTCAATCATCATCAGTATCAAACGAGGGAGTGGGAATTGGGCTGAAATTGGAGCGACGAGGCACTCGAATGGATGTGGGGGAAGTAGTAGAATCCGATTCAGGCGTGGTTTGAAGATCGGTTGCATACATGTACTCATGCTGCTCATACAACAGACACTAAAGCTCTCCAGCATGAATGAGCTTTATCGGGTCCGACACTATGTAACAATCTATCTATCTCATTTCTATGAACAGCAAAGAGAGAGAGGAGGGGGAAGCAGAGGAAGGAGGAGGAATAAAACACAGAGAAAAAATCGGCTGAGAGGCATCCAGAATGGTAAGCAGTGAAGGCAAGTAGCCATTGATGAACGGGGATAATTCCTAATAATCCCTCCTGGATGCTCAGACCAAGTGGAGAGGATTTCATCTGATTGGCACCGGCTGAGACATGGTTTGTTTCCGCCCAGGGCTTGTCGCCGAAGATGTGACACACTTGTGACAATTGGCAGTAATCACTTAGGTTTGTCGCTAGAAGGAGGACACCCTCGGGACCTTTCACTCTGGATTTTTTGGACTTATGTATATCAGTGTATATATAAAGTAGTTGGGTCAGTAAACAGGTACTGGGAGACAGTTCGATGCTGTCATAGACACTGACCGAGAATATGAAGAAATGTATCGGTAGACTCAAATGAATAAATGATGGCCAGGTACAGCACATACAGCATAGCTAGGTGACTATCAGCGAAACGCTGACTAACCCCACGGACTAACTGCCTTAGCAGTCAAGTAACCAACCAACCCAACCAACCAAACAACCTAGTGCGACCCCTCCCCCTCCCATCCGGCTTCCGACCTGAATGAACAAGAGAACTGCTGATAAACTGGGAACTACAGTAGAGAACAGCTGACACTGCTGCTTATGCTACAGAGTATTGTTCATTCCTGAGCTAACAAGTGTCATACACAGTCACAAAAGTACAGTACTATCTGAGTTCTCTTCTTTGTCCTGACTACTGCACAAAACATACCTGAAAGTCTGAAAACAGTCAAGGGAACGAGCATCCGAGCTTCATCACGGCCACGAACCATGACCCAGTTGGAAATCCCTCCCTCCCACCTCCGTCCTCTACCCTCTCCACCCCCTGGGTGGCAAACCCAGACCACCTGCGACGCCAGCCTCCCTCACCATCACCAAAACCTACTGGCGCCAAACTGGTGGAAACAATAGTGAGTTAGTGTCCCCTGGCCCTGGCCCCAACCGAGCCCACTTTCTGTCAGATGGATGGGTCATGGCCCCCCCTCAGCCTCCTCTCCTCTGATTTTCAAATTTGGATGGTGGCAGCAGCAGCAGCAGCAGCAGAACAGATAATAATGGGGTTCTATTCAACCCAGGGAATTTATCCGAACTTGACATCTCACATTTCCCCACGTTCGCTTCCTCTTGACCCTACGAAACTGCACAAACAATAAGCCAGAAACAGGTGGCTAGGGGTTGCTCATGAACGCCAGCCTTTTTTTTTTTTCCACGGTGCATCGATCGATCATCCCGCGATCAGCTCTTGTCCTTGTCATGACCCGAAGCGGGTCGAACTGTCAATCGACCACAACTGGATGACCATCTGAACAAGACACAAATAATACTTGAGTACGTAGGAGGGTGTGTGTCATTGCGTAGAAAAAGAGCCTGATCCAGACTTTATGTATGCGTTGCTTTCCGTATTGTCTAGGCATATCCACCCATGTTTATGGCCGATAGCCGCTGCGCTCATGAATTCTCTCCAACTGAGATAAATTATAGAATTGAGATGAATTCAGAACAGGGAGGGTGAGAAACTGACTCGGGACTGTTGCATGCAGGGGATCATCTAATCTATGAGAGGATTAAGCCCTTGTTGCCCCCAACCGCAACAACCATTGTCTAGAACGAGCCTGTCACCCTCCCGGGTCGACCGGCGATCTCGCACGAGTCTGTTATATTCCGCTCCGAGTGCAATATGTATAGCTCGTGGACACTATTCGGAGATTCTCACCAAGCATATAACCCGATTTGGAAACGGTTCAAGACACGGACCAGCTTCAAGCCTGTCACTGCGATTAGCTCGCTTCCTGCAATAGAAAACTGCGATACTGTCTCGTTCAAATAGCGCAGGTCTAAGGAACGCGGCAATCAAATTTTAAATTAATTGATTGAGTTACTGGAGTGGTTCGGTGTGTCGAGACGAGATATGATCACCTCTTTAGGATCTAGTGCGAAGCGAAATTAGTATAGGATCCAAAGTGAGTCCAGAGCCAGACAACACCATTGATCTAGTACTGTACTCTGAAATTGTTCTTGATTAGCACTGATTTGCATTTTCATGCTAATCATGAAGAGATTAATGGGTCGACTCCGGTGGTGGGAGAAGGTTTCCTGCCTACTGGTGGGATCATGCACCAATGCTAGACATGCAGCGAACTATAAGAACTACTGCAATGGATCAATCAACCCCTGTTACCGTTGCAATTGGGCTCGGGGGGACAAACACCACTAAGTGACTCCCGGGACGATTTCGGGGGTTGTTGTACGGAGTACGGAAAAGAACGAACAAGATACATAGAATGGACCCTTTTCCCCCCAGCAGATGCTGAGTCGAAACAGAGGATGAGCATTTGCATGGAACCGAGCCAACCCCTCCCCTTCTTCCTTTCTATCTATTGAATCTACTGAATCATTGTTTGGTTTTTGTTTTTGTTTTTATTCTGGCAATGGTGCAACTGATGTTGCCTGAAACTATCCGTCGGAGCGTATCAATTCAATCTCACGGGAAATAGTGTAGCACATCTTGATTATTGCTCCACCCCTCATTTCCGTGATGCACGGAGAAGGAGAGAGGGGCGAAATGATGATGGGGCCACTTTCTCACAACTGCCGGGACAAATTGGTCATCCGTACCTAGTAGTCCGTTGGACGTGCGATGAAGGTCATTTACTAAACTCCGAGTATGATAGCCAATCATGGAGTGACATCAAGCGACTGTACCGGTACATTGTTATCAAAAGTATCAAGGGCCATGAATGTTCAGCATCATCCAAAGCCTGGATGAACTCGATGGAGTACTGTACCTGCGGATCACACAAATTAGTATGGGGCGGGTCCCACGTGTCTTGTCCACCTTGCAAATCAGGTCAAGAAACCACTTCCCGGTAAGGAGTATGGGTCGAGTCGCATCCCCCGTCCAATCCTCTCCCGTCTCAGGGAAAGGAAACTCGCTAACTTATCGATAGTAGCTTTGGCGTGCCGTGGGACATCCTCGTCTTCGGAATGATGCTTGTTTCATTTTGCTTGGAGAATGAGGGGTTGATTGAAGTTTGAATACAGTCGTCGGCTCGCTCATGAGACACACACTGCGTGTGGCCAACCAAATTTCTTCTCCGTCGGCTGTTGGCTCGTTGAAACGTCAGAAGTTCATTATCCAGGTCGATCTCGGTACCAACATTCAAAATTTACTACGCAGTACTGTTCCAATTTCATATACTGTCGAGACATGATACTTTTCTCTTCACTGAAGCACGGGTACAGTACAGGTTCTAAACATGCTCGAGAACTGAAACCGTCGCCAAGCAATACCAAAACCGGTTATCCTGCATTGATGCCGTGCTTCTGGGCAAGTGTGCGTCAATTCCATGCATATATACGACGGACCCCTTTCTTTACCTTACCAATTGCTCCTTGAGCACGGCAACAAATAGAGCTCCCTTTAATATCAAATCACCCGGTCTTTCCATTCTTGCACGGCCGGTTGATGTTATCAACACGAGGCTTTCCGTTCGCATTTGCGCCGCGCAGATTCTAGTCCCAACGTCGCCCGTCTGCACGGTCCTGTTGCTAATATTAATCCTCCCATGTGGACAGTGGGCAGGGTGGTCTGAGTCAAGCGGTATGGTTCCTGGCCGATCCCAATAAGAAGCTGTCAAGAATAGTATCATTCAATTTTGAACGGTCAGAATCAAATCATTGGCCAACTGCTCTGTATTATAGCAATTGTTTACTTGGCAAGGGCATTCTGACTGTCTTCATCCGTCGCTTCCAGGCTCGAAGTCACTGTGTCAATTGATGTTCTACGCACCCCAGCTATCTGCAGCTCGCTGCGATGTTAAGATCCTGTTTAACCTGTTCAACTTGTGTTAGTATGCTACAGCATGGTTTTTCTCAAAATGTGTAATTGCCAGGCAAGACCTGCATGATTTAGGAGTAATAATCCATCCCACAACCACAAAAGTATGTTTACTCAGAGCATGACCTCTTACAGGATTCATCATCCTCAGGCGATGATTCATTGACTTACTCCGCAATTCACATCTTCTGCAATGACACGATAATCAAGCGCGGAAGGGAAAGCCTAGTCTCTGAGCTCATGCCCCATCATCCAGATCAATAGCAATACAACAGTCATTGATAGTTGGCGAAGCTCCATCACCATTACAAGCACCCTAGACCGTTGTCATAGAACATAGATTCCTTCAAAACAAGAGCATAGCTCTCTCATCCGAATCGCGAATAAGCTTTACGAACACGGAAGGCGGTGATGCAACATCCCTCCCATCCCAAGGCGGTCAACCATCGATAAAACCGATTTTTTGCATTTTTCTCTCCGCCGCGCCGATAGCCATCGCAATAGCACATCCTCCTAGCAATTTCTTGATTCCTTGTGACCGTTAGTCCTGCCTGCTTCTTCTTGCTACTAGGGCTTTCTCCGTGATAGTCTCTGACATCTGGTGCAACCTCCCACTTCCCACGCGCACAACCCACTTTCCATACCCCGCTTCACCTCTACCCAGAAAGAGAGAGAGAGGTATGTCTATCAACTCAGCCCTTTAAAGCAGCAGCGCAACCCAGACCACCCTCTCATTCCTGTCGACGATTTAATATCTAACAATCCCTCCAGTAATACCCCCTCAGCTTCACCCAAACTCCACCAGTCACATTCCCGTCCCACCTCGAAATCACAATGCCCGGCTCCGTCGACCAAGAAAACGACCAGTCCATGATGGACGCCGCCCCGGAGCAGCAGCACGAGCAGGACGACGTCCTCGAGTTGGAAGATAAGCGCATCGTCGTCGTACGCCTCACCCTTACCTCTTTTCACTCCAGCCTCTGATACCATACCACCCCAATATCTTAACTCATCCTGTGAAAAGTTACCCGGAGCCACCGAAACCGCCGCATCATTCCAATTCGACGGAGAGGGACACACCCTGGGTAATGCGCTACGATACGCGATCATGAAGAAGTGAGATCCACTTGATCCCACCCACCCATCCTGGATCTGTTCCTTGATCTGGTCTTGGGGACTCTAGGCGAGGGAATGTAAATGGATGGAATCTCGCTAACATTTGAAAACCAGCCCTCAAGTTGAATTCTGTGGTTATACCATCCCCCACCCTTCAGAGACAAAGATGAACCTGAGAATTCAGACTTATGGTATGCATCTCTCTCCCCGCGCCTTTTACCTCCATTCAAGGGATCGGGCCAATTCGGCGTTGTACTGCAAATGGGGAGAAGAAAACTAACAGGTAGTCCAGATTCAACAACGGCCGTCGAAGCCCTGGAGAAGGGTCTGGATACCCTGATGGACCTGTGCGATGTTGTCACGGACAAGTTCACTGTTGCGCGCGATGAGTTCAATGCGTCGTCCAAGGTGGATCGGATGGAGTCGTAGGTTCTCTTCGTTCTGTTTTCTAGTGTTCTTTTTTTTTTCTTCTTTTGAAATCACTTGGTCTTCATCTTGGCGTTGTATTTAGAGAAAAGTTTCGATTTCGGTTGTCATAATGACCCAACATTTTCTACTTGATCGAGCCTTTTACTGTGTGTACATTGAGCGGTGTGTTTTCTGGCTTGGACGGTACATAGCACCTAGTTTACCATGAGTGGGTTCGGGGTGCTTGAGGTTAAGGGACTGCGTATAAGTTAGTAAGGACGAGTCAATGTGGATTGAGCTTGCTGTCTATGTTGATCAAGCGGTATCCGGCCTGGACTCTATGTGGTAGTGCATGGTGCAAATGGTATGTAGCTTCTTGGCCGCCCTTCTTGATATACCTCTTCTCTCTCACGCTTGTACTTGTAGAAGTTGACCAATTCAGAGTCAAGCATGTGGCAGGTAACATGGCATGCTTGATCAAGCATTACTGTCTTAATGGATCTTACGTCATGTGAAGAGCACCTCCACTGCTCAACCCGGACAAGCGACACACAGAACGATCCTACCCCTCGTGAGACACGAGTCCATTGCTGAATCTAGCAACAACACATATTTACATGGAGCGCACACTCATACCCTCTACCCGGATCTATCAGCTCACGAGTCTAAGCCCAGGGTTGTTCTCATAACTAGAAGGAATACAAGATAAAAAAAAACACTTTCAATGCTGCGGGATAATTTGAAGAAAAAAAAAGGGAAACATGAAATCAATTGCGGCCTTCCAAGAAGCCGGAGATGAAGTTGGGGGGGAGGCGAGCACCGGGCTCCTCCTCCGGCCGGAAGTACTTCATCACGTGCGACAGCTGCTTCCAGTAGTTGAGGGTTTCCTGTCATGAAGCTCAATATTAGTTGGTCTGGTCATTGGTGTATTTGGTGCGATGTGCCGGAGTCGTGGAGTGGGGAGGGGTGGGAGTGATTGTATATTGCATGGAAGTGATGAGCTATTCAAGCTCTCCGATTCAATTTTAACATGCCGCATAAACCCCAAACCGCCAACCCCAAACCCACATATCCTATCGCATTGACCACATAGAAAAGACAGCAAAGGCCCAACTCACCTGGAATTCGGCGTGGCTCTGGTACAACAGCACGTCGATCACATTCAATTGGCTGACGTAACGGTGCTTCTCGAACTCCTGGCGAATCTTCGTCCGGATAGCGGAAACGGGCATGTCCAGGGAGTACATAGTCTGGATCTCGGGGGACTAATCGAAGACACATCACATCATGTCAATTGTCAGCTCGGGGGTTTGATCTTGAGTATGTTCTCGTGGTAAAGTTGCTCGTCTCGCGTTCCCCCCCCCGAGGCTCTTCTGCGCGTCCTGGCGAAAGAGCTCCCTCCCTCCAGTCAAAGGTGACAAGAGACGACGACAACAATAAAAAGCAGCAATTCCGAAATGCAATCAAATATTCCAAGAGTGTCGAAGACTAACCGCTCTAAGCCATTCTCTGTAGGACCGGATAACACGACGCTTCGCCTCGGCCAGGTTGGCAGCTATACACGGGGTTTTTTCAAGGTCAGCTTGTGAGTTCCGGCCATTGACGTCGCGCCAATTTCTAAGGGCGCCGGACCACCGGTGGATCGGAGGGTGGAGGAAGGGTGGTTTGTGGTTTGGTAATATCACGTACAGGAGCGAGTGCGCTGAGCGAGGAACGTAGGGTTGATAGTCATCTTGACAATTGAGGATTGAGGCAATTGATGGGCACAGCCTTGAGGCTCCGAGGTTTGGCAAGGAGATAGAGGAGAGTGGGTAAGTTTCTCTGTTCTGCTCGGGACGGAATGCCTTGAGAGTTTAGCGTTGACGGGATTGGGAGGAGATCGAATGGGGGTCTGGTTCTGGAGGTTGCCGCCGTCCCCACCTCACCGCCTGCCTCTTTCAAAAATTGTTCTTTTTTCGCGGGCGCAAAGCTTGGGGGTCAGAGGGGATTGTTTTCTGATCTTCATTCATTTGGACCGTGTGGAAATAATTCTCCAAAGATTCGATCGTTCGTCTCTGTGTCAAGGAGATATACGCAGGTCATTTCAAGGAACCTGTGCCTCTATTGTCTTTGTGGACTTGGAAGTTCCCATCGCCCGCATTTTTCCTTTTCGAATTTTCTACCCACCACCCGCATCAACACCCCGGTGTTCTTATATCTTTTTTTTTTTTTTTCTTTTTTCCAGAAATAAGATCAAGACCAAGATGGCCCCGACAAAGTCCTCGGCCAAGGGCAAGGGTCCTTCTTCGACCAAGGGAGACGCCAAGAGCAAGCCTCTCTCGTCCGGTACGAAAGTGAGCAAGAAGAACGTCAAGCGCCCGCCGCCCAAGGAAGTCAAGTCGAAAGCGCGCACGGAATCCAGCCTGCTGAAGAAGACGAAGAAGAGGGAGTACACCGAGAAGGAGCTGGACCTGCCTCAGTTGAACATGATCACGCCCGTTGGTGTGGTGAAGCCCAGGGGCAAGAAGAAGGGCAAAACTTTCGTGGACGATGCGGTATGTGATTCTTACCATACACGGGGATCTGTGATCGGATCGGAGGGACTGTAGACTGGACTTCTTTGCTGATCTTTGGTCGGTTCTTGCAGGAGGGAATGATGACGATTCTTGCCATGGTTAATGCCGACCGGGAGGGTCAGATCGAGTCGAAGCTGATGAAGGCCCGTCAATTGGAGGAGATCCGGGAGGCGAAGAGGAAGGAGGCTGAGGCCAGGCACGCGGAGAAAAAGAACAAGCTGGTACGTATCTTGCGGTCATGGTAAAGACGTGTTTGTGTTGGGATGTTACTAACAAAGGATACGGGGAACAGGAAGAGGTAAAACAATCGATTCGCAATAAGAAGCACAAGGGCGGCCCTAAAGCCGACAAAGCGGCCTCCGTACCCGACAAGTCGTCCAAATCAAAGGGCAAGAGAAAGAGCGTCGCATTTGCTTGATTTTGTTTCATTTTCTTTTAAAAGTAATGCTGTCTATATCAGGTCTATGTATCTAGATGGGTCTCTGGCGTTTCAACGGTCTATATCCTGCCAAAACAATTGCATGCATTCATGATGAACCACCCCCCCCCCCCTCCCCCCCTCTCTCCCAACTTCTGATGTATGCGGCGCTCGGAATCCGCTAGAAGTACTCGCACATGATGCGTCTCTAGGCTGAAGAGGGCACGATCTTGATATCTAGCTTGCGCCGCACAGGGCCGAAAAGCGGTTTAGGCGTCTTATCGCTGTCTTGCGCAGGTCGCGCAATGTAAGGCGGTAGGCGATCGGGGTGCTCAACCTTGCCTGGAATGGTGTGATCCACTTCCTTGGCCATGAGGTTAAGGAAATTGGACACCTTGAATAGTCAATAGGCTGGAACAAAAGTCAAGGCGAACAACGTACCGGTTTAACAAACCACCTGTCACCACCAAACTCGAACCAGCCGAGATGCCCACCCCACGAGGTGGTCGCCATGACACCATACGGGGTTCTGGCAATTTCTCCATATGGCAGAGCCTTTGCGCAAGCAATCTACTCGGCTGTCAGCACATGAAAGCAGTTCGAATGTCAGGGGTGCAGCTTACCGGGTCATCTTCGGCCTGGATTACGAAGAAAGGAATCTTAATGCCAAGCATAGAGTCGATGGAAGAGGCATCTCGATAGTAAGCACCTTCAGTAGGATAGCCCCATGCAGGGCATTGCAGCGCTCTAAAGTATGGCGTCAGCGGTTGAAATGCAAGTCTGCCCAGGACAGTCCATTACCGGTCGAATTCGTGCAAATAAGTAACATTCCTGATTTCTTCGACGTTGACCAGTGGATTCAAGGCGACCGACTCCACATGTCTGGCACCGTTAGTTGGTGTAATAGCTGACAGACGAGTTGGGATCCCATCACATACTGCTCGAAAAGCTTCTTCATGCTCGATCCCATCACCTTGCTGTATACCTGAAGTCCCAGCAAGCTGCTCTTCAGGTATTCCGAGCTGACCTCCAAATTCCAGGGGCTAGCACAAAGCACGGCTGCTTTCAATTGGCAGGCATCCCCCTCTTCGCCAAGGTACTATAACCAATGCATTAGTTGCTGATCCCAGAGAAAGCACGTGTTCAGGACTCACGTTAGTGAGGATGTTTGCGCCCAAGGAGAAGCCGATTCCGAAAAGGGGCCGATTCGGGAATGTCTTCCGTAGCCATTTGACGGCCTGACGGACATCCCACGTGGCGCGGGCATTGTAGAGTATATTGGTGGTAATCTTGGTTTGCGAACAGCCCCGGGAGTTGATAACGCACGCTTCCCACGATTTGTCCTGGATCAGAGGCGCAACCACATGGCGCAGGTATACCTCATGTGATCCGCCGCTCAGGCCGTGCAGAACAACCAGCATAGGCTTGGTATCGTCCGATGGAAGCGCCGTAAATTCATCCTCGGTAAAGAATGAGGTCCTCTCCGGTAGTCCCTCGGGCAGAGTATACTTTCTCTCTGGGTCAGAGGTCTGGTCATTCTTGGACGGCTCGTAGGGATCTACGACGAAATCCACGGCAAAATGCCCATCGAACATCTGGTTGTCCGCCTCGAACATCCATCTCTTGTAGTAAACCGGAACGCTATCATACTTGACTGCAGTCCAGGCAGTCTGAAGGTGACCATTGAAGAGGAATGGATTGAGATCACAGGTTGCTGGTGTGGCTGTGCGACAAAGATCTGCCAGCGCTACTTGCTCCTTGGCACCAGACTTGCCATTTTTCCGGGTCAAGATGAGGTTATTGTCTTTGGCGCTGTAGAAGGAGACCCGACCACGTGGGCGAGCCCAGGAAAGTAAGCCCATGGCTAGCAGACCCGAGAAAAGAAGAGGGATCGATAATGTGCTCAGGACGCTAATGGGAGAGATGTCAACAGGCGACATGACGGAAGGTAGAAGGGGCTAGACTCCGAGGCACCGGCGAAACATGCGAAATGTAAACTGTAAACCACGGGGGGGGGAGTTGTTCGTTTACCCAAGCCTGAAAGATCGCTCTAGACTTGTAGCGATTGCACTTGCAAATCCTGTATAATTGATAATTGACAAAATCTTCTCCAAGTCCTCTCCAAGTTGTGGAAGTAGACTTTGCATTCCAGAGGCTGTCGTCACCTCACATGAATTTCTTCTTTTTCTTCGAGAGCCTCGGCTTGATTGCCAAAAGGGGCAACATCACTAATCATTCATCTTATCAGTGGCCTTATCGTGCCGATCAGTCAGCTCGGCTGCTTATTCAGGCTGTCTAACCCAGTATAGTTAGTCACTCTGAGTGAAGATCATGAGGGAATGCAGGAAGACGTCATTTGGACAAACCCCCCATCTACTCTCAAGTCGCATTGCTCATCACTTCTTTTCTGTCATTCCCCCCATCCCCCCATCCCCCCATCCCCCCATCCCCCCAATCCCTGTGGGCTGTGGGCTGTGCTACATTGAGCTGCTAGCTTACTTCTCCTATTTCTAGAGACACAGCAGCATTCTCACCGGGCAGGGTGAGGGTTGCAGGTGGTTCGGCACTTTTAAGCTTCTCGATCCGGTAAGCCAGCCCGGATGCGGAAGTTTAGTATAGAGTTCGGTGGAATAGCATCATAGACTCTCCGCGCCTGGTCGCAGTTGGGTGGCTTCCCACTCAGAAATTTACCATGATTTGGATTCGGAATTCCCCTCTGGTTCGATGCGGCCTTGGGTAGAGCTGCCCTCTTCTCCCTGCGCCGACACAGGATCTTGTCGCATGGAAGCTTGATTGCTTCTTCCACTGTGACCCTGGCGCGTGCTCCGTTTGCGTGCGAATTGACAGCCTTGCGTGTGAACTACTTCAAGGTCAAGAGGCCCTCCTTCTTGTATCTCTCTCTGATTTTGATTCCTTTCGTCATGTGGTCCGCTTGATACTATATCTTTTACTTCTAGTACATCATGATGCCCGTGAGCCAGCAGAAAACAGGCTCGCTCTTTCTTCACCGATGAGCTTTTGTAGGATTTCAACCGAGAATCAAACCAGAAGAAATAAGCGCCTCAGCTGGGAACCATTCAACAAATCATTCCTGGCCGCGGCGATCCATGATTTAGGGCCCAGTGTCCCGATCGATATGGCATATAGCTTACGTCGTGCTGCCGAAAAACTGAAGATCATCGCCAAAATGAATCGGTGGACGCGGAGCCACCCCGCAGGAAAGGGTAGGGGTTTCGATTCTAGCGGGCGATGCTTCCTTCTCGAACTGCCAACCGAACTACTATTGGCGATCATTTCCCATCTATCGGTAATACCCGAGGCTTGTCTAGCGCTGACATGCAAGCGACTCTACGCGATATCCGGGGCGATCCTGGGAGCCAAAGCTCTCCACTTTAATCGCGACTTCGCACCACTTTTTCACCACTACCGAAATGGTCACAATCTCGTCACTCCACGGTGGCAATTTATCAATCTGCTGGAAGACGGCCGCTGGCGTGCCTGCTCGAAATGTCTAAAACTACATCCACGGAGCTCGTTCCCTCCACGTGAGCTGAGACGGAAGTCCGATGACCGAGCATGCAACTTGGGTAACTCTGCGGGCATCGTGGATCTATGCCCATGCAAGAAGCTCACTTTCCAGGACAAGACGGATCTCGTACAGCTTCTGAAGACCCGACAGATATCAGTGGACGCCCTTACCCTGCAGTTCGGGAGCGGCATTCAGCAGCAGCGCTTTTGCTGGCACTCCTGCAAGGAGAACTATGGATCAACGCAGCTTGAGATTGCGATATATCCTGAGCTGGACCAAGACGACTTGTTGAGGATACATACAGAGTATCATATGACAACAGGAACTGGACAGCTGGGCAGAGAAGAACACATCACACCTCGCTTCGGATGTGCTCACCGGTCAGTCGACTTGTGGTTATCCAGTGTCTGTCAAAGCACCATCTGTCGTCTCTATGACAGCCACTGTGCCTCGTGCAAGAGGATATCCATCTGCAACACCTGCAACGCCTCTTTGAGGTGTCCTCGCAAACAGCCCTGTCGGATAGATGAAGCGACTGACAAGGCCACCTACCATTTCTGGACCGAAAGGTGCCTTGGAGGCACTAGTCTGGTTCCCGATCAGGCATGGGCTTCTCAGCGAATTCACCCGGCGGAGAATTTTTTTGATGCTACCAATTGCAGTGAGATGTGTCCTTGGACTATTCGAGAACATCCTCCTCTGGAAGAAGCCCCAACTTTGGGGATGAACATACTTGAGCCTGCGATGCAAGACCAGTCGCTTAACCAGTTATACTCTTCAATCAACATGATATAGAAGATGACAAATGCGCCCCTAGACTGAATGGCGCTGGGCGTGGTTCGGGGTATGCTTGATTATGTGCACGGTCAATCCTGTATGGTGTTGTGGGATTTTTCGAGATCTGCGTGAGTTGGGTAGGAGGAACAGGGCTGCTATACTATATATCTTCTTTTGGGCTCTATGCAAACTTGTCCGCAATTATATGATCATGTAAACAGCTGAGTTTGACCAGACACTATTAAAGAAGTTAATGAATCTGTAGAGCAGAGAATCTTTTTATATCTAGGAATGCTGGGACCAAATTCCTCCAAGAAGTCGAATTGCTCCCTCCCTCACCTGACTTGCCTGACTGATCGGACCGCGTGGGGAGGTTTCTCCGAACCCGACGCGGAAACGGAAATGACCGCGCGATTGTTCAAGAAGACCAGGACCGAAAGCAGTGACCGCGCAAAAAGAGTCCCCAACTTCTAGTCTCCTCAGCACGGCTTACTTTCAATCGGGATTACCAGAGCGCAGTGGATAAATGAGCATCTTCTGCGTCCTGGGGCGATGAGCTACCCACCACCCCACAACGGCCAATATCCTTCGCAATACATGCAACAACCCCCCAATCTCCCGCACCATCACCAGCAGACCATCCACCCGCAGCAGCTCCTTTACAACAACAATGTCAACGCGACTGCTTCGCCATATCAATATGGCAAGCAGATTGTCTACCCCCAGGTCATGATTCCGGCCTATCCTACATACACTCAACCCTACGCCCCGCAGCAACCACAGCAGCAACAACCGCAGCAGCAGCCGC